CCTTTGCTGGAACAGAAAGGCTTTTTTTAAGGACCTTTGCCATTCCTGAGGCATCAATAACTCAGTGATTTGAGTGCTGAATTAACCTCAAAAATAAATGGTGTCAAACTCCATGTACATCTTGAAATACTATAATATCCTGAATTCCAGAATTGTATCACTGTTGTGCCTCTATGCAGAATATTTGGAGAACACAAATATTGAAACCTTTCCAGTTGCTTTGTTGTTGAAGTAATGGCATTTCTGCAGCACTGAGGAGTCTTAGACATGGGCCAGAAAAGTTTTCAAGAACACAGAAAGATAAATGCTGAGGTATTAACAGCTTGGCACATAGAACAGGAAGGGATATGGGAGAATTAATTTTCTTGCATTAACTTATTTTCTTTTGAATTATGGAGATATTTCTGTATTGTCTGAAAACTGAATAGTAACAAATTATTGTGAGAAGTGCTTATTTATTCTTTTCATCCAAGATTATTTCTGATCTCATGTGGGTTTGGAACTGCTTGTAGAAGAAAGGAATTCTTCCCAAGTGATGTGCTTTTTGTTTTCTTTGAATGTAGAGATTATTCAGGCTCACAGCTTATAATGCAGTGTTGCTCAAAGAAATCAACTATTTAGAAAAGTAGTAGTGAACTTAGGAATGATCTGGAGAACTGGAAAAGGCTAAAGGAAGTAATCCCAGGTGTTACTGGTATCTCTAATCCTGATATCTCCTAATGTCCCTTTGATTATCCAGCATTAGGAGACCAGAAAATGGTGTCATGGCAAGAATTTCAATTTTTCTATATCTTTTTGAAAACAGGCAGTGGGAAGGACATCCTGGTGTCAGTGACAGTACCATGGGATGTGAACTGCTGACCCTTTGCACAACAAAGGGCACAGGGAGGGACACCTGGGGACACAGCAGGGGCTGAAGATCCCTGGACTTTTTCCTGTTTAGATTGTGAGGGGCTAAAAGGCCAGGGGTTCCTTTGTTCGGAGCCCCTCCTCGGAGGCAGCCGCTCGAGCTGTTATTTTGTTATTGCACCAAGATGAAATAATTGTGTGAGCTCGAGGAGTCTCGCTGTGAGCGTGGGGTGTGCGGCTGGGAAGGGGCTTTGGTCCCAGCTCAGGTGATGGAGTGTGACTGCCAGTGGCTCCTGGGTGGGCAGACAGGGAAGTTCCCTTAACACTGAAATTGAGACCTTTGAAATGTGCTTTGGGAGGCTCCTCACATCTGACAATGGTTGAAGTGTTAGCACTGGTGAAGATTAAGTGGTGTTTGATTCTTTGTATTTTGTTCTCCTCCTCCAAATGAAGTTACCCATGCACACAATCTCAGCTGACTTTTGCAGATAAGGTAGATTTGGCAGAGAAATACATCCATATTTTAGGATATGACTGATTTAACTTGCTTTTAGTGTTTCACAGTACTGAAGGAACTCTTGAATTACTATTAAAAGCATTACTACAATGGCACAAACCTCAGACTTGGCTATCTTTGTAATGTTCTGATAATTACTGAAGTTGAGTATTTTAGCATTTTGCACAGTATAAGGTTCAAGATGCTTTTTTATTGAAGAAATCTGTAAAACTCGGTGACAAATCAAAAAGCTTATGCACTGCAAACTTGTAGTAAGGAGCCAGTCAACATCATGCACACAGTGAAATGAAATTATGCATGAATATGGTAACTCCCATGCTCAAAAATCATGTGTCTCTTTCCTTTTGACCATGGAAAACTTTTTTTTGTTTTTGTTTTTAAGATACTTTACTGTTCATTAATATTCAGGATTTTAGTTTGGCTTTATTTTGTTTGATACTGCTGTTGACATAGAAGGGATCTGGTGCTTAAGTAAAAGGGGCATTGCCTGGGATATTCCAAAGAATTGTTTCCAACTAGAGATAATGGAGATGCAGTGGAGTAAGGAGAGCAGTTCTTACTGCAACTTCCAGGATGTATTGTGGTTGTGATATGTGAAGCAACCCCAGTCATGGTCCCTGAGGCAGAGAACAACGATTTCATAAATAAAACCACAAGGAGAACCATATGACTGTCCTTGCAAAACCTGCTGCCCAAAAGCGAAAAAGGAAAGAACCTTGTAAAACCAGCTGGGAAATGGCCTAAATGTGGAAATATTTCAGATCTGAGTTTTTTCCATTTGCTTTCTTTAGTTAAAAGAAAAACATTCATATATGTGGGGAAGGAGCAGTTGCATACTGAAGCTTGTCTGAGCATATAATTGTTTCTAGAGAGGTGGTATTCAAATAAAAACCTGCCAAATCAAGTCTTGAAGACCTTGGCAGAGACAGCCAGAGCCTTCACCATAGGGGGCTTTAAGTACTATTTGGAGAATACAGTATTAATTAGAAATTGTACAAACAGCTAGTGAGAATGATGAAAAACCTTTTCAGAGTAGCCCATGATCCTACCATGGAAGCAGCCAATTAATTTTAAGTTGTAACCAGTAGTTATTCCCAACTAGGGAAAAAAAACCCAGTAATGTCTTTTATCTCCTGCTCTGGCCCAGGTACACAATGCTGTTAAGAACATGTAATGGAGTCATTATTGGGACAGCCTGTGGATCTATTGCAGTAATTTTTTACCAAATGCAGCACAGGCTTTTTTACTGTACAGGATGCCATAAAACCAGCAAGAGATTTAATCAGGTGTGTTAATGGATTTAGAGTATCTTCCTGGAATTGTCCTTTGCTGGTTTATCATTTTTGGATCTTCCTTCGGCAGTGTATGTCTTCATTACTGGTACTGCTTTGTGTAATCTAGCAAACAGATAATTTCTGACATTAGATGCTCTTGGAGAAACTAATTTATGTAAGTAGATCATGGCTGATCAACTTCCACAGTCCAGCTCTCATAAATGAGTGGAAGGACTGGTAATGCTGCTTGTAGTTGTGTACAGGGCTGGTACAGCTGATTTGCCAGCAAAGCAGTTCAGAGGAATACACTGGTTCATTTTGGGCAAAATCAGCCGGATGAGCTCACTGATTAAATTGTTAGTGCCAACTCGCCTCGTTTTCCATGGCATTAAAGAGAGCTTATTACAAAGAGCGTGTAAAGTCTCAGTTCCTCCTAAAGGTACAGGAACGAACAAAAAGCAGCAGTTTGGCTGCTGGATTGGAGCCTGTTTTGTGGAGAATCCTTGCTGGGAAGAAGCACTTGCTTGTGTCTCTCGCCTGTGTGTGCTTCTCACATTTGCAGCAATTACTGCCTGAGTGCCGCCTGTCAGCTGCTCTGGTTTGGCTCTCCGTTCTGGTTCGCAGGTTTCCGATGTGGGCCATGCCACACGCAGTAATTCTTGTTGTTTCAGGTCTGTAATTACAAGGGTATTTGGCTTCTGCCTGCTCTGGACAGAAGAAAAGGTGGCTGATGCTGCTTCTCATTCCAGACAGGTCTGGAGATCAGAGATAGGCTGGCAGCCGCCAGCCCCTCCTACATTTGAGGCACCCAGCTGTATTTGGATCCAGTGGCACATGAAGCTGGTGTGCCACGGGCTGGTTTGCAGGATGTGGCCGCGGGCTTAGCGATGCTGCTGCTCCCGTGGCAGTGCCCAGTCGCGCAGTGTGGTGCCGCAGGCAGGCGCTGCCCTGCGCTCCCACCGGGGCTGCCACTCGCAGCTGCCTCAGGAGCACCGAGTGCTGCTGATGTTGGAGCCTGAGAGCTGGGTGGGCTTACAATGACTATGTCAGAACACGCAGGAGACTCAGCAGAGAGGTGAGTAGCAGCACGCAGCATTTTGCATTTGGCTTAGAGGCAGTTGTGATCCCGCTGTTGGAAGCAGGAGGCATCTGCAGCCCACTGAAGCATGACTAATCAGTTTGCTAAAACGCTGAGCACCCTCGAGTTTAAAGTATTTCTGCCCCGTTGTTAACAGTGACAAGTGATGGTTTGTAGCATTTATGTGAGGTGTGTATTTTGCCCAGGTATGAAGCCCTTGGCTTGGGAGCTACATCCTGTGGCATGATTCCTTGGAGTATAGGGGAAATGTGCAGCTTGTATTTCTGCTGCTGCTGTGGGGTAGCACTGTGTCATTAATTGTTATTCCAGAAAAGATGCCAAGTAATAATTGTATCTTATTTCTGCTTTGAGCTTCAGCAGTGATTTTATTCTTTGTCATCTTTCTGTTTCAAAGGAGTATTTTGAAAAGGTTTATTTGTATTGATTGGGGTAATTCTGCATGACAAGAAATGAACAAATAAAAAACTCAGGTGAAACGCTAGTAGTCTAAATATTTTAAAACAGGTGAAGATGTGCTTTATTCATGTTAAATATTTTACTTGGTTCAGGGACACAGATTTAAAAACAGGAAGGTAGGAGTTTTAATGCAATAAGCAATAATTGACCAAGTTTTAATTATTAAGCAGGGCTCAGAATAGCTCAGAGTAGGAAGACATGATATTGCATTTTGTATGAGCCGGATGCCAAAACTTGGTTAATCAATGCTTGCAAAGCACTTGCAGAGTGTCTTGGGTGCAAAAGGATTTGCAGTGTATCTGAAGTTGTGATGACAAAGCCACTAGGAACAACATCATATAATGTTTCTCTCAAATTTAAAGTCCTGGTTCTGTATATATAATTATACTCTTTGTTTCTTTGCAGTCATTATTCATAAAACCAAACCACTGCTGCAGTGGGTGGTTATTACTGATGCTATCTGTGCTGTCCTCCCCTGCCTTTTCCCTAAGATGTTATCGGACTTTGCTTTCTGGTTTTCTTTTTAGCATTCTGTGTTGTGCCACTTTTTAAGGAACTAACACAGCTTCTAAGTCACAAGACAAATCACATTAGTTAGAGCTGTTCAGAATCAGGAACATGGTGAGGATTTGTTTGTATTTTGTTGGAGGATGTTTTGTACATGCTTATATACAATATATCAGTCCAGTGTAGCGCTTTGCTCATTAGATGCACATGTTTCAACTGTCCTAACACTGGCTAGGTGACCTTAACTTCATTAGTGCAAGGCTTATTGTTTCTTTTGTGGATTTCTTTTTTGTCCAGCAGTTCTGGTGGTGATGAACTTGGGCCAAACTAACTCAGCTGGTCTGTATTATCCTGTTGCCAGTATCCTAAAGACCAGCTGAGAAGCCTTGTGACAGGTCAGGCTGACATCTGAATGTTGTAAAGGAGAAAAGTACAGCCAGAGTAAGTCACCGAGTCTTCTGACTTTGAGATACTGCAGCAGGTTTTTTTGAGTGCAGTAGCACTTCTTAGGGACAGTGATGTTGCCATGAACATGCACAATAGGAAATTTTAACCCACCTGTGAGTCTGTAGTGGTTTGTTGCTCAGGCACTGCTCTGAACATGAGCTGAATGAAGGCAGGTGTTCCAGCAGCAGTTGTTGTTATATTCTGATGCAGATTGACAATGTCTCATCCTTAAATTGATAATATGATCATAATGTCACCAGCTGGAGTCTGGCAGCTTTACTGTGCATTGTGACCCAGTGCTTCCGTGTTCCTGGTACCTGAGCTCATCAAATTACTGTGCTCCCACATGGCAAAATCTGCATGTCCAGGTTCTTCTGTAAAATACATGCAGTTTGTCTTTTTTTTTTTTTTTTTCCCCAGAAAATGAAAGACTTCAGTTGCTTTTCACATGTTACTTGGTGAAAGCATTAAAAAAAACCCCAAAACCCAAATCCACAAACAGAATAGGAGTCACTTTTACTTCTTGCAATCACTAGAGGTAAAATAGCAGGTTATGCAAGGGAATGAATCTGGAATTGAGGAAGGGGGGTTCAAATGCAGCAGTAATGCACTGGTAGAAGGAGAACAGATGTGCTGAGTTTATTATCTCTTCTGGCAGGTCATCTACATCAGACCTCAACGTGGCACTGCGTGAATGTATGGCAGCTCTGGACTTATTTCTTAACAACAAGTTCTCAGATGCTTTGGCTTCTCTACAAGCAAAGTAAGTTGATAAGATTTCCTACTTTTTTTTCTGTTTATTTTTCTTTGCTTCACCATCTCTCAGGAGATTTTGACCAGACAGCTGGTTCTCTCCTAATAATTGATAAGTCTGTATGGTTTTGGTTCAGAAGGGAGTGGTAAGTTAATGTGTTAAGTTTTGGGGAAGACTGATAAGTGCTTTACACTTGTGTGGGTAAATAAAATCTTGTTATTTACTCACACAAGTGTAAAGCACTTATCTGTCTTCTAAAATTATGGTATTGATATCCAAAGAATTAACTCATCAACTGTAGTGCAGTATGTGAGATTATTCCTCCTGGAAGAGTAGAAACCATCTTCTACCACATTTTATTTTTGTCTCCTTTCCCGTATTTTTCTGTGCACTGTGAGAATCTGCATAATTATAGTTTTGTGTCTAAATGAGCAACTGTCCATGAATTGAAGGTTTGAGAAACATTAGGTATAAATTCTTTCTTTGTTGTTGTAAGCACTTGCAGAAACTTTCTCACAGCTTATTTTGCAAGTCAGTGTTGTGGTCATGCATTCTGTTTCCTGATTATGTTGCAGCCCAACTTGTAGTGAGTGGCCCAGCTGCAAGCAGTGAGGTCATGAAATAGTTACTAAAAATTGTTGTGTCTTTACCATGTCTGTGATCTGTCATACCCTGTCCTGAAGTTACCTGTGTTCTTGGCGTGTTGAAGTCTGTGGTTAATTTAAATTTCTCACCCACCCATCCAATTTGCTCCATTTATTTTTGAGCCACCAGCAAATTACATCATGCCTTCTTTTAGGACACTAGAGTATGAAACAAGTAAAATTGATAGTGTGTTTTTGATATGCATGAGGGGTAACTACAATGAATACCATATATCCCATTTGCTGAGGTAGCAGCCTCATATTTGATGCCAGAATCTGTAGCTTAGCCATGTAAGTACACTCTGGGAAAGACATTAATGAAAAATTGTAGCATCAGCTCTATTAATAATGTTGGGTTTATTCACAGCAAAGTTGTTTAGTGTTCATATATCATCAGAAGATATAATAAAAATGGTCAGAAGAATAACTGTGTTTTCATTAAATCCTGACAGTAAAGCCCCTGTGCCCATCTGGGAAGGCTCACTCAGTGCTTAGCATAAAAGAAGGGGATATTTTATTGCAGCAGGTTTCCAAAACACTGCAATGAGGCTATGGGTTGTTTTTTTCTGTAAGTCCTTCATTTTTCTTCTGTTGCATATGGTTTTCATTCAGCTTTTGTTGGGCTCTGCAGAATGTATTTCATGAGCTGATACTCTGTTTTTGTACCTGACTCTATTCCACAATGCAAAACCATTTTGAAACTAATGTTTCATGTTAGCCTGTTGTTATGAGGAGGCCCTTATTCCTGTTGCCTTTGGCAGTGAGGAAAATAGAGACTTATGATCTTTGTGAGTGCAATGAAGAAACAGGATGCTGAATTTCCCCCCAGATGAAATCCATTATGGACACACTCCATCTCTTTAGGAATGAGAAGAGTTGTAGTGGGCACATGTGGTAGTTCTGAGTATTTTCTTTCAGAGCCACCAGTTCCTCAGTGTTCCCTTTTGGTGTGCTGAGATTTGAAATTAGTTTTCACAGTCCATAAACATACTATCACTGCTTAGAGAAATACTTTTCAGTTTTTACACACTTATGAAGAATTTCAGATCTTAGATTTTTGTGGCTTTAATGCTTCTGGTGTAGGAGATACTCTGCTCTGTATTACATTAATGCAGATTCACTAAATTACTCACATTTGGCTTCCACAATAAGTGTATTTGCAACTAATTTGTACCATGTGAATCTGACAGCAGATTTGGCACAATGTGTGAGGCTTAAAATCAGAAGAGCTTTCCTAGCAGCTTAAAAATAAATATCTGAGGATGGTGTCTAGACTTGTGTTGAGGTAAAGCTCTTTCTTTCCTGTTAGAAAAGCAAATCCATCATTAAGAAAAGCAAATCCATTATAAAGAAGAGATCTCATTTCACAGAAAAAATACATCTGGTGTTCTTGCTTCATGTTATGTAACTTTTCTTGTTTCCTGAACTACCTTTTAGCTTTTAGAGTCAGTTTTCATTATTATTAACAATCATTGTACAATAGTGGGTTCTGATTATCTTATGCTTTCTGCAGTAAGTTTAATTTAATTTATCTTTTATATGGAACACTCACACTGCATCTAAGAACTCTTAGGAAATTCCTAAAGTTCAGTCACCAAGCACAGCAGTGATTTTCAATATGTAATGTGTTAACTGTTAACATGCATGGCACTGAAACTGTGCAATCACTAGAGCAGGGAAAAAAAATCTCATCTTCTTTCTCAGCCCTGAGACATGCAGTAAATCCATTAAATGCTGACTGGATTTTAGCCATTGTGTAATTGCAAACAGACAATAATAAATTAAGGGTTGATTCTGGTGAGATGTCCCCTTCCCTTCCCAAGACAAATGCTTAATATTTTAATAATTTTCCTGAAGGAAAACATGGCGTAATCACCTGACAGCTTGCTGATATCAGATCTGTTGGGAGAATGGTAAATGAGATAAATTCATGACAGAGTTATCTGGACCATTGGATGAGGTGCACCACATGTGTTGCTGCTTGCAATATTAAAGGAATAATAAGACAGTGATTTGTTCCAGGCAGCTGTCTTTATTCTGAAAATAGACTTCAAAAAGCACTTGGTGTTGTTTGGTGGAATATGAATTCTAGAATGACTGTGCTTTGAAAGCTTTTTCTGGGAAAGATCAGGTGTGATTGTGAAATGGAGAGTGGTGAAAGAATAGGGGGAAGCACACCCAGGTAGAGTGAAGTTCTAGAGAGTGCTTGGATAGATATGGTGCTCAAAGCTTGGGTTAGCTATTTATTGTAAGGAGTATCATGAACAAGAGCAAAGTTGTTATTTCTAGGGAATTTATCTTTTTATACCTGATGTCTGGAAGAACACAAATTTTATAGTCTTTGTAAAGAAATTAATTGCTACCAAAACCTAACTAAATTGTTGGTTTCACCTCTTTGCTGGAAGAACTTAGCAGATTCTGAATTTTGGACAATGGCTTTGATTAAAAAGGCTCAGGGATCCTCTTGTTGAAGCACAGCTTTTTGTCTGGTGGCTTGTGGTAGCAAGGGAGCTGTGATGGTGGCTGACTGGAGAGGTCATTGCTGGTTGTTAACCTGTTGCTACTGGGGAGTCTTGCAGGAAATGGATTTTTATCAGAAAATGTTGGTTCATCAAATTTGAGCATTTCTGTGAAAGCCTCTGCCCATGGGTCTAGTGGGTTGTTTGGACATTGGGTGGAACCTGGGATCAAAGATGAGGAAAGCCTTCATGCCCCCTGTGACCACCTTCTCCTCTTGCAGGTTTGATTTGGGCATTGGTTTCTCACTCTTGAGTCCTCCTGGATGAACAGACTGGTCTGTGGAGGGTCTTTCTCACTGTGCTCTTGGATTTGTTTTAAGTTTTGGAAGCATCTTGATACTAAATCAACGTATGGACTTGAACCTGAGGTTTCTGTAACTTAGGAATGCATCTCCTGTCTGCAGTTTTACTTTAAGGGATCTACAGAAAAGACTTTGAGCACTATTTTCACAAAAGATTACTAGCCATGGGTTAATTCTGAGGTCAAATCAAGCCAAGCTTTTTGGTTTTCATACTTCAGCTGGAAAGTTGTGACTGTCTTCACTTAACACTTGTTTTAGAGCAGGAATAAAAGTGTTTTCCAACAGCTCCAAGAAAGGGCAGTGCTGCAAGATGATAATGATTACACCATAGCTGGAGAAGAGGCATGTGGCAGAACTCCACAAGTGCCTAAAGATATTACTTATAATCCTCTTATTCAGTCATGTGATACCAACTACTGGGATAAGTCATTAATCACAATATTAGTTGCATTCGTGTCATACAGGCTTGTTAGCTCCAACAATGTCCTGAGGGAATTGCTGCTGAGGAATCAAAAGAAGAAAAGTAAAAAAGATAACGAGTTTCATTCTGTATCCATCCATATGAAACCCAGGCCTTAAAGCTCCTGGCAATACACCAGAATGTAGCTGGCAACTTTAATTGAATGGTTAATAGAAATAGCATAAATAAGTTGCATTTCTGCCAGCATCCCCACCCCTGAAATAGAAAGAACAAATTTGAATGTTGCTAAATACCAGTTGGCTAATGATAGACATTAATTATTATCTCCTTTAAATCTTAGAAGTGAAATAGATGAAACCATTGATTAGGGAAAGGATGGTCTGGTTTCAGAAACAAATTACTGGAGAGGGAAATCCCTTTTCACCACATGTATGTGAAAAGTACCAATTTTCCTTTTAGTGCAGTGAAATCAATATTTATCTGCTTTGCTTTAGAAAGCAAATTTCTATAATTTTAAAAGGGTACTATTTCAGTCACTTCTCTGTGCTTTGCATTTGAGCCTCTGGAAGGGTTTTAGTTTAGTAAATACAAGATGAAGTGTGTTATTCTGCACCCAGTGAGGCTGATGAATAATCTAATGAACAGAAACAGTTCATCAGGCTGGCATTTTAGTGTATTCATTTTTTTATACTTTACATTATCAGTCTGCTGAAAGAATCGTGGTCTACGAGGCCAAGAAAGAGCTGTCCTAGCTCCACTGGATTTTAAACTAATTTCTCTATTATCTGTCTGTTCTTCTTAGCTTGCAAATGAGATGGATGGTAGTACAGTCTGGGGCCTATAGCACTTATGGCACCAGGATATTTCCCAGAACAGCTTTTCTGCTAGATTGGTTTAGATGGAGAGGGCAAGTAGGAATTAAGGACAGTTACAGAGCACGGACTGCAGTGAAGTTTAAAGATGTGCACTGCAAATTCCTTCAGTGCAGCCATCCTGCTCTGTGCCTTGTGTGTTGGAAAAAGCCCTTTGTTGTCAGTGTGAGGGTTGGGAAGCACCAGGCCCAAGTCACCACAGTGTATTATTAGATCATTGATTAATGTAGGATGATCTGAAATTATCCATTAGATTTTCTTTCAGTTCAGTCCAGATACCAAAACTTAGGGAGGCAAGTGTATTTCTGGGGTGAGAAATTACGTGGATTGAGGTGTCTTTAAAGCCTGGCTTTTGTCTTTCAAAAAACCCTACAGAATAAAAGGAGATGAGATTGGAAGACACCTCAGAAAGTCATGTACTCAAGCAGGGCCATTTTGAATGTCTCCAAGGATACACTCTACAACTTTCCTGGATGATGTGTGGCACTGCATGGTCACCCTGATGGTAAAAAACGTGTGTCCTGATGTTCAGCCAGAGCTTCCTGTGCTTCATCTTGTGCCCATTGACCTCTGATCCTGTCCCTGGGCACCAGTGAAAAGAGCCTGGCTCTGTCCTCTTTGCTTCTTCCCTCAGATATTTTTATATATCATAAAAACCCCCTGAACTTTCTGTTCTCTAGCCTGAACAGTCCCAGCTCTCTTGGCCTTTCCTCATAGGAGAGATGTTCCAGTCCCTTGATCATCCTCATCACCCTGCCCTTGAGTGTGTCCATGCCCTGGGGAGCCCAGAACTGGGCACAGCACTCCAGTGTTGTGGAGTGGGGAAGGAGCCCCTCTCTCATCCTGCTGGCAGCAACACTCATCTTAGTGCAGCCCTACCTTTGTCAAGAGTACTTTGTTGGCACACCACTTTCTCCTTGAAAGGAAAAGAAAATGAAGCACCTGAAGTAAACACATTGAGAACAAGCGTGCTGAGGGTGGAGATTTTGAAAGGATATCCTTGTTTGACTGCAAGTATTTTTGACTATTCCCTGCCATATAGAGCTATCTGATCTGGTCTAGAATGTAAACAATTGAAATAGCAATTGTTGCTCCTTGATAATATTTGTCTTAAGTCGTGCTATTTGTAAGGGGTGGATTAGCAAGATCTACAGAGAGTTTCTATGTCAGGAATTTATCTGAGCCTGCTCTTCAACATATTTCTCAAGTTGTACTTATTAGACATCTATGCCTGAAGATATTTTGATTCACTTGCAGAGAATTACACCAGACACAGGTAAATGCTTTAAATGTGTGCAATATATAAACCCTCTTCCCTGTCAGAGGAAAGGTGCCAGCAATGTCTGCACGTAGGAAATCGCTGATTTCCTTGCACTAATGCCAAAGTTTTTTACTTTCTGCCAAAGTGGCACTTTCTGAAACTCTGCAGAATAATATTTAAGTTGAACAGGTTGGGGTGGAGGATTGGCAGAAGGGGAGAGGAGAAAATAGCTCTACTTTTTGATACAGAGTCTAATGTTTCTGGTGAGAAATCTGTTTCAAGGAGATTCTATTTTGGCCACGGTTATAGTATTGTGTTACTTATCTCCTTGAGCCTGTACTGAGTAACTGCCCCAAATTAGAAGGATATCAGCTGGATTTGTGTCATATATTGTAGCATTCATTAGATAATAAAAAAACCCCACCAAATTAACTCCACCATGATTCTATTGTTTCTGAATGGCGAGCCATGTGGTTAATTCCTGTGCTTTATGTTTGTTAAATATCTATCCTCAGCTCAGAATTGATACATTTTAACAGAGTATGTAGAACTGCAGACATGATTTCTTGTACAAATCTGAATCTATTACTGTTTCTTGATTATTTTCCATGTCCTTTGTGTTCTATTTGTAGTTCATTTAGACCTTGTTTCCATGAGGCTGATACATTTCCAGAATTGAATTTGTATTGCTTATTAAAAGCAATAATACAGTCAAATCAGCTGTGCTTTGCACCTTGTGTTTTCTTGCAGAACTAAAGACAGCATGTATCATGCCCTGACTTATGCCACCATATTGGAGATGCAAGCTATGATGACATTTGATCCTCAGGACATACTGAATGCAGGGAACACAATGAAGGAAGCTCAAGCCACCTGTCAAAGGTAAGACTGGAACAATTCAGTCAGTAAATAGTTCCTTCTTGGGAACGTTTTGAAAGACTACTGGATACAAAACGAAATGCAATCTTACAGAAATCACAGGAAAACTGAGGTTGGAAGGGGCATTAGGAGGTAATCTAGTCCAGCCTCCTGCTCACAGAAGGGTCACAGCACATAAATGAGGGGGCTCAGCAGTCTAGTCTTGAAAACTTCAGGTTACTGCAATAGCTAATTTTTCTTGTCAATTAGAATTTGTCCGACCTGTAGTCCAGGTTCTGCAGTGTCTGGAAGTTGTTCACAATGTTCAAACACTGCAGAATGTTCCCACGTGTGATTGTTTTACTGCAGTTGTCTGTCTGAGTCAGCTGTGCTCCTACTTTTGCACCCACATTCACCCATACACACACAAAATAAATCAAAACACCCCCTTATCCCTCTCCTTCATCAAGACAGATTTTTGTGCATGAAGGGTAAGAGACAGATCCCAGGAGGATCACATTGACTGAGTTTTCTGTGGCCTGTGCTGAAGTCTGTGTGTGTGGTGAAATGATGGGCTGGTGAGCACTGGAGTCATGTTGGTGACTGTGTGGGTGACCAGCTGCTGAAACATTGTTCTCTGTTGTTGATGCTCCTTCTTCAGAATGACCAAACTGACTTTTTGCAGATTTAGGAAGAAATCTACTGTAGCTGATTCTATCAACAACCTTGTGCATAGGCAAAGCCTTGAACACTTCACTGAAGGTAACATCTTCCACATGTGTAATGTTTTCTTTACTGTTTATGCAGTTTGAATCCTGTAGAGTTGTTCACTCAGTATGAGCTTGCAAATTGTCAATTCACTGACAAAATCACTGATCTGGCATTTGCTGAGACGAAATGTTATTGCTTTGGCCATTGCCATGCAACCAATCCAATATCACTGGTCTTGTTGCTTTCTGACTCAGTACTTCCAAAAATTTCTGAGTAAAGAAATATCTAGAAAGAAATATTGAAATGCCTATAAAGGTTCTAGATCCAGGAGTTTATGGAAAAGAAAAATTCCAGCAAAGTTTCTGTAACTGTGTGCCATTTCTGTTTGGAGTTACATCAGTAGTCTAGAACTGAAACGCTACAGCAAATTGGAAAAATATTTTTCTCAGTTTGAGCTCTGTGATCTTGTTCCTACATTAATGGGCTAAGTGTTTTTCAATTACTTTTTGACTGATTGATTTGTTTTCTTCTCTCTGTGTGACATTAGAGGAAATCCATGCAGAAATTTGTTATGCTGAATGTTTACTTCAGAGAGCAGCACTCACGTTCCTCCAGGTATGGATTCCTGCATGGCTCTTGGGGGGAAAAATCCCATACAGGTTTCTTTTCTTAAATGGACTGGTAGAAGACTATAAGTTGACCTGTTGGGTCCTACATCTGCATCAAGTCTTGATTTTATCTGGACTATCTGATGAGATATTAGAATGTTTAATTTTCCCTCATTATTATTTAAAAACACTTAACACACATAGTGCTGAGTGCCCTATGACACCCTTTCCCACTCTCTTTTGGACGTGTGAAATGTAACTGCAGTGAGCACCAATTTTCAGATTATGTGTTTGGATATCATATTTTTGAAAAAATAAAAGATGAGTGGTCATTGAAGCTATGCTGGAATACAAGCAAGACTTTTGTTTGAGTCTGGCTGCTGTTTGCTTTCCCAAGGCTGCTTTCTCACTGCTTTGTTCTTGAACAACAATTATGGTCTGCCCAGCTATTAAGCTCCACACATGTTTTCTCCTTAACAGTGCTGCCTGTCTTTAACAAAGGGGAGCTCTCCCTCTTCTTTGGATTTCATCTGTCTATCCTAATGAAGCTTGATTTGTTTGATGGAGCAACGTTAGTAGTACTTACTAGGGCTCCAGCATGCAATTTTCATTGTTAGTCACAGTTGAAATAACTGATTTTTCTTCTTGATTTGCCTGTATTTACTGTATGAAAGTGGGCCTCTTCATCTACCAAGGGGATAATAAAAGCCACAGTCAGAAAAAGCTGCTGCTTCTTGGCTCAGGGGTGCTGATAGGAAGTGGAATGCAGGTGGTGGTTTTATAGTGTTTGGGAGTTGCCAGGTGGGCTCTGATTTATGTTGCTTACGACAATTTATGAACCGTGTAACCTTTTTCAGCCATCTGCTAAGTCCCTCTGCTAAAAATTATTGCTTCATAGCAACATCCATAATCAGAGGAGCTTCTAGTAGCTTCTAGAGTGCTGATGATGAACTTTGAAATGACCAAGGTGTAGCTACTTGTTTCCATTTTCCTTTGGGATTAGTAGCCTCTAGCACTGGGGGCAGTTTGGGTGGGATCTGAAACTATGGCAAGAAGAGTTTTGAGAACTTTTCTGTTACATCTATAGGAAAGGAGCATTTTAAAGCAGTGTCTCTTGGTTTTAAGCACTATTTTTCACAGATAATCATAAATATTTTCATTAATCATAAATAGATTTTCTGTTTATGAAAATGTTTATGGAAACATGAGATTTAAGAGTACAAAAACAACTTCTTGTCCTCTTTTGCAAAGGTCTCTTTGCTTCCTGTTCTCTTCTGCATTTAATTTTTCATGAACACATGAACTAGTTTGAAGAATTAAACAGAGGCACTTGGTTCCAACAGCTACTGAAGTGGGTTAGTTTTATTAGTGAGTTAGTTAGATGTGTAGTAAAAATTACAAAATCCAGTTGAAAACACATAAAATGTAGTCTCAGCATTTTTCAAGGACTGAAAAATTCTCACATTGGCTGTCGTTGTTGGTATCATTCTGAGTGTAAACATTTTAAAACCATCTTCCTTCCTTGTTCCACTTTCCATTCAAAGGAAAATATAACTGAACCTTTACACATGGCTGGGTGTGCTGCACCCTCCAATATGCTGTTCTTAGTTAGTTCATCTAATTAATTCATCTAATCCATGCTATTTTTTCCACAATGGCCTCTTAGGATTTTTCTGTGATGGTGTCTTCTGTTAAAACACATGTAGACTTAAAGTAACAGCAGACATCAAAACAAACCAGAATGACAGATTATATAAGTGAGGCAAGAAAGTGCCTCCAAAATGTTATGAAACTTAAGACCCTCTACTAATGGTCTCCCCCAGATACTTTGCTGTAATTTCTCAGTTTGTTGTAGCTTACCATGTAACATGTTATTTTACTAGTATGGATCTCATATATATACGAATATTCATATGTATGAATGTTCAAACCAGAAAGAGCATATCCTGCATAATTTTACTGTGCCTGCTTCATGCTTAGGATATGAAATTGTATTCTGCAGACTCTTGAAGACAGGCAGTTTACTTATGAACATTTCGTGGCTCAGCACCAGATACATCTTAATTATACTCAAGGACAAATGAGAGAAAGCTATTTTTTGAAAGAGCCACAAATGCATTTACCTTTGGTGACATCTATTAGCTGAGTCCCTGTGTTCATTAATACTAATTCAGATGGTTCAAAGGTGACAAGGGCTAAAGTGATCACAGAAAGTATTAAAATAAAATGCCTGTGTCTAAACAGAGTAAAAAATATTTTAATATAGAAAGGAAATCCTAAATCCAAAAGCTTATATTGTCTGTGTCATGCTGGTTATGTGCCAGGTGTGTATTCATTTTAAGAAAACAAAGCCCTTCATATTGCTAATGTGTTTCCATTCCAACAGGATGAGAATATGGTCAGCTTCATAAAAGGAGGCATCAAAGTCCGAAACAGTTACCAAACCTACAGGTGAGTCAGAGTGATGATGTCATTAAGTGCACTCTATCAGTAAAAAGTGCTGCTGGTGAAATGATCCAAGTCACAAATTCATTACTGTTGTACTTACTGAGTCTTTATTATGGGCCTCACGTCTGCAGATTTTCCCTGCCCACACAGATTCTTCCTTTGCATAACAAAGGACAGTAACATTATGGTTGATTTGGATTGTGGAGACAATGGACCCCAGCTCTGTTAACTCCCAAGGTTTGCTTACTGCAAGTACTATATCCTTGAAATTATGTCAAAAAATAACTGTTCTAAATGATGTACTGTTCATTGTGTCTGCATGGCACAATTTGCAGGTCTTGTAGGCATTAGGCATAATGAAATAGCATTTCTTTATAGTACCAGCTGCAGCTTTTTGGAGCATTTCATACCAGCAGCTGACACACAGTAAAAAGTAAAGGCTAAATATACATCATATTTTATTTATTTTAGAATTATAAATTTTGATTCAGAGTAGACACAAAATGCCTTGTGTCCAGCAGACACAAAACAGCATCAAGTCCAGGATCTCCAGAAGTCCACTGCAAGGGAGAGAGATGACAGTGTCCATGTTTGTGTGGGTTGAAGGTGACTCTAAATGCAGGTCCATAAGACTGCACTTACCAGGAATAGTGCTGAGTCTATTGGCAAAAACCAATCAATAAAAACATGACAACCTGAACACAAATACATGCTTCCATTAAAACTATGTTTTTCCTCTCCTAATAATTAACAAAATAAATGAAAACAGTAGTGTAAAAACCACATAGCTATAGAAAGCTTGGAGGCAAATTGATTTCAAACTGAGCTGGATTACATGGGAAAAAAAGTGACCCTACAAAGCTGAGACCTATAAAAGTTAGAAAAATAAGTGAAAGTAATTTCTGATACATCTGCCCATTTTAGAATATTTATTACAGTTATCTTTTCCTATAACAAAATATTCTTTTGAACATGCACTTAATCCAAGAATTAGTGAAACTCAAGTCAAATTTGCTAATTTAAGTTTAAATCTTGTGCACTTCGCCATCATCTCTTTTTGCAGTAGCAAAGTTTGGTGATGCTCCCAACAGCCATCCTTGAAACATTTTCAGGCTGAAATGTGTTTGAATATTGATTGTATCTGTTTGGCAGGAATTCCTCTTCATGATTCCATGTTTTTTAATTGATAGTGATGTGACAGAAATGACTTGTTGATATATACAACAGAAATGGTGATGTTGTTCACTTGAGTGAGATGACTAATGAGCCTTTTTAAACTACTCTGTAGTCCTAAACCAGGACACAAGGTAATAGGGTTACTTTCTTAGTGAATTATAATTAATCATGTTATTTACTGACACTCTAACAGAATCTTGTGCATTTCCAGGGAGCTGGACAGTCTCATACAGTCCCCACATTATGTCAAAGGAGAGAACCATCTTCATTTTGAGGGAGGTGTGAAACTTGGAGTTGGAGCATTTAACCTGGTATGTACCAACACTCTTATCCTGAGCTGGTGTCCTGCTACCTCGTGAAAATGACCCTGACTTGAATTCCTGAGAAGTTCCACTGGCATCATACTGATCATGTGGTTAAAATTAGGTGTGTGCTGTGACAGTGCAGGGTTCCAATGTCTGGTCTGAGAACATCAGATAATAACACTTCAGAAATAAAGGGATTGCTGCCCACAGCATGGTGTGAGGGCCAGGAGAAGCCTTGCCCAGGAGCACCAGTTGCCTGTGCCTGTCGAATTCCACTTACTCTTTACCTGACACTTGGAAAACTGCCAGGATCCAGGCTGGGCAGGGCAGTTGGAAGGGGTGAGGTACACGAGTGAAGTTTGGGGTGCTGCTCCAGCCACTGTTGGCTGTTTTTGCTTGTGTTGTGGCCAAAAAGCAGGTGAGCAAATGGTGCAGGATGGTTCCTGGGGAGGCACTGACCCAGAGATGGTGAGGGGTGATGTGGTTGTTGAGGACATGGGCTGCAGAAAGTCCTGGAGTTTCCTCTTGCTTGCACTGCTTTGTGTGCCCAAATATTAGGTTTACTGCACAAAGAACAACAAGGACTGCGTGGTACGAACCCAACATTTCTGAAACATGCCAGAAGTACCGGAGTTACTAAGCATGTACTGTGTAAACATATTTCTGTGTTGGGCATTCTGGAGACACCACCTATATTAAACACGTTTCTGTTTCAATTGTATGTAAAATACAGCAGGTGTATACATTTACCATGAAAATTTTGATATAGATACGTTTTTAGTAATTTTACTCATTATTTCTTGTTCTTGGAAAAATTGTAGGAGGCAAGTGGTAGCTGAAAGGCAGAGAGTCTGTTACTGCATAACTCTTACATTTTTCTCTGTAGACGTTGTCCATGTTTCCTGCACGGATTCTGAGATTATTGGAATTTGTTGGATTTTCTGGGAATAAGGTAATTGTGAACTAAATATTACTGGTATGTTCCCCTCACTCTTAAATTAAAAACCAGAGGCAGGAGTTTCTTTCTTCTTGCTCACATCAGCTGTAACCCTCTGGTATCACACATGTGCACTGTGACACTGATGCTTTCATGCAGCTCAGTTTTGCTTTATATTTTTGTCTGAACTATGGCACTTCAAAGGTTGTAATCCCGTTGTTCTGTGCTGAAACAGTTGTGAAATATGGTAAAAGCAATGGCTAATACAAGGGTGTCAATTAGGTTTTTAGTTACTGGTCTTTTGCTGTAGGCTTGTGCTTAGAAATCTGTAGCCAAAAGAGTATTCCTAGCCTTTAATATATAAATATAGCTTCCTTGGTATTTACTGTCATTATGGGGTCTGGATGTTCCTGACAGGTTCTTGCATGAAACCTATTTCATTTTGGCTTTAATAGCAATTGGAAATTGGAGTGGGCACCTAAATTCTCCTACCTAAGAGAGTAAGTGTTTAAGGAAAGAAGTTCAGTAATGGAGCACCAGAAAACTCACATGATTATGACAAAGAGCTGTGCTACTGCTTTATGGATCTGTTGTTTCAAAGAAATGCTGGATTGGTGGGAGTATCTTGGCCTTGCTACTTTGTACCTGCCCTTGTGTCTCCATCAGATCACGAGATTCAGTCAAAGCAGGGCTCCTGGGTTAAGAAAACCTGATGCAGAACGTGATCCCTTTAACCTAAACCACTAGTCACATTTTTCATAAATGCTGGGTAAGGTAAACGTCTGATGCAAGCACTAGAAAAGGCATGAGAACAAGTTTTAACTCTTATATTTTCTATTTACAAAAGAAGTTTTAAGGAGAAGTGTCTTTTTTTTTCCTGAGCTGAAGCCTTACATGGCAGGTGAATGACTGTCATCACAATTTTATTAGTTTACTGGAGTGATCTTGTATCTGAAAATAAAATGTCTTATTTAAAAGCAAGGAGCTGAGTGTGGATTACAATTTAGAAATTTCCAGGAGCTGATCAGGCGCTATTTCACAGCAATAAAGGCAAAAATTAAATAGTTATACCTATCAGTTTCAACAACAGATCATTTAAAGTAAAATATTCTCTTAGAAGTGTAAAGGCAATTCACATGCCAGCAGAGTTCTGAGAATACTTTGGTGAACACTCATCTTACTCTTGCAGATGTAAATTGTCCCTCTAGTTGAGTTTTCATTTGGCCCTGGGACTTCTTGCATGGCTGTGAGTGGGCTGATATTTGTGTTGATGAGTAAGCTCATATTACAACTCTTTAATAACTCACTGAAGCATGACCTAGATTACCGTAAATTTGAGCAAAACCCTGTTGTTTGCACACCATACAAAGGAGCATTTTAAACATGTTGATCAAAGTTCATTGATGGCCATTTATATTAATATTCTAAAAAAGTCTTTCTGCATTTAACATTTGTGAGTCAGGTGCCTAAAGCCAAAAGCAAAATTGTATTTCATGTGTAGTCCTTTCCAATGATGGTTTTCCAAAGTTTGCAACGACAGTAGACAAGAGAGTGAAAGAAACAGTGACAGAGGAGGAGAGGAAAGTTTGTTCATCTGTGCTGCACTTGTCTAGTTTTTCATACAGCTGTGCTTGATGCTGCAGTCTCTTCCCTTAAATGTTTACTCTGAGTACCAGATTGTGCAGCAGAGTCATGGTTAGTGCCTTGAGCTGTTTGCAGATTACCTGGGAGTGCACTGCAGGACAGCTTGATTTTGGTGTGGGTCATGTGTTTATTGAAACTGGATATAAATTTGCTTTGTGTCATCCTCCATGATACCAGCCTACCTCAAAGCTGGCAGGTTTGCCCCTGGGGACTCTCCTTGTCTCTGAGCCATGTCATGAGGACCAGCAAATGAGAACATGCCCAGAGCTCCAGTACTTCCTAAGCCATTTGTGTGCACTGTGGACATCATGATCAACTTAACATCAGTCTGGAGTCTGAAAATAGTAGCTGGGATAAGATCAAGGAAATATAAAAAATAGCCTGAAGCCATGTTTGTTCCCTTCCAGTCCAAGATGTGCCAGCTGTGCCCTTTGCACTGTTTAAGCTCCTTTCCCTTGCATCATCAGTCAAATCATGGGTTATTTGTGTTTAGTAGCACAGGCCCCACATTTGAGCAGTGAAGTTTTGCCCAGTTTTGGGAGAAGTGTGTCAGGCTCCCTGTGCTGGGGAGCACAGCAGCCTCCCTGGGCAGTAGGTGGAGTGTGTGTCCCATCTGCACTTGGGTGTTTAACCGTGACTAAGCTGTGACGTGGGAGCAGCAGACTCCCTGCACTGTCTCCCTGGAAGCCTGAGCCCTCCTCACTGCCTCCTCTGCCAGGTCTCAGGCTAATATTTACTCTTGTGCTTATTTTATAGGTGATTACAAAAGCTGTGCTGCTAAACTGGAGAACAGTTTGACATGAGCCTACCATATGTTAAGTGCAATTTGTCAGGGGTCAGATGACAACGTGATTTCATGAGAAGGCAGGAAAACTGTCAGATAGAACCGATTTCTTTCAAATTATACTTTTTTTTTAATGTGGGAGCACATTTTTCCCAAAGCTGAAGAATATTCTGATGTGTCAATTTCTGATAAATTGAATTCCAGTTTCTCACTAAGTCTCTCTTTTGAATTGCATTTTGGTCTCTTCAAATTTTAAATGTCACTTAAATCTAATCTTATTTAATGGGATGCATTCAAATGCCCTGTCTATCAGCTTAATTAGTCAGTTCTTTGTAAAGCTGTTAGTAGTATCCATCCTCCTTACTAAACCTGCAGCAGTGTGATCAGGCCATGGGACATGAACAATGACCTTGCTTCTTTAGTTGTCAGGATCCCTAATTAAAAGAATGATTTAAAAATAACATCCAAGAACTTCAGGAAGTCAATGTATTTTAGTCAGTAACCGCTGAAATAAATATGAATCAGTCTCAGTGTTGTCTGATAATGATTTTGAGCATTGTCCTTGTTCATCCTTCAACTGCTGTGGGAATCCCCAGTCTTCACACAGGGAGTCCTGAATGACAGAGCATTGGATGTCTTGGGACAAGAATTGAATCAGTGAGATACTGATATAATCTAATGTAATGACAGTCTTGGGAATTAGATTGTGGGATGTCATGAGGAACTTGCACAGAATGCTGAGTTACCACACTGGATCACATCTGCTCTGTGTTCTACCTTATATCCTTCAGAGTGGTTGATGCTTTGTGTGAAAATAAAACTAAAATGTGTTAGTGTCAATTAGGGAAATTACAAAAATGTCTTTCTGGAAAAATTATGAAAACTTACTGCCTTGACATCTGTTTTATACTGTCACAAAATGCCCTGTTAGAGACATTGCTTGGAAACTCATTCCTGGTGTTCTGGGATTGCTTCTATCAGTTGTGACATAAGTGTGGGAGATAGTTATGGGTCATTTATGGTTAGAAGGCGTGTCCTGACAATTAAATACAATTACTCACTGGTGCCAGTCCCTAAGTGAGTGCAGTGTGTTTGCAGAGTTACTCCTTAGGCTCAAGTAGCTGCTTGGGATTTTGTTCCCAGATCCTCTGTCTGATCCCGGGGAGCCTTCCATTGCCCAGCTCCTGGCACTCCCTTGGCTGATGGGGATTGTTGGCTAATCCCTGTAGGCTCCCTGTGGAGAAAGGGTGGTGCTTGAAAACGTGATTCATGTGCCTGATCCAGGCTGCTGTGCCAAAATGTTCCTTGGAGGGGCACCTCTGCCTCACACAGAGGGAGCCTTGGGAGGCCAGCTAGGGAGTGTGGGATGTAAAACATGATTCCCAGTGGCACCCTTCATATTCCTATTTTCTGAGTATCCCATTGTATGAGAAGCAGTTTGCAAGAGATTTCTTTGAGGAGAAGGAGCTTTGCTGCAGTGTATTCTACGAGTGTTACAATACTAATAACAACTACTTCTAGATTTCTTTTATTTAGGCTGTGTCTTCTACTGATTGTTATTATTTAATATAGAAAGTTTGGGATATTCAGGTTGCAGAGTGAAAAGTAAACACCCTTTAATAGCTCTGCTGGACTAGATAGGATTATGGACATTCCACAGAGTGAGCTAACTTGCTCAGTGAGCTTCTCATGCTTGTGTAACTACTCAGTTCAAGACTTTAGAATTAATGGTGTCAGATTTGCAGCCCTCTTCTGATGAATGGGCAATATTCTTAATCCAGTTACTGCTATCCAGGATGCAGTCCTGTGTAAGGTGGGTGTGGGTTCATTCCTTTTCCATACAGATTACAACTTTGTGTTTGGCTGCACTCATACATGCTTTTGAGACTAAAACATAATTGATATCAACTTGACAAAGGCTACATTATTTTATAGGACAAACAAAGTATGTTGGAATCATTCTTAGTGCTATTCACATTCATTTATATATATTTTTATATAATATAGAAGATACCAAATGCTGTAAGGCCTAGTGTCAGTAAAGTCTCAACGAAATATCAAGCCTGGAGATTTTTCATTGTACAAAAATGTACTTTGGAAAGATACTTTGGAAATTTTTTTTGGCCAAAATTCATTCCACAGAATGTTTTGTTTTACTTATACCTTGAAGTGCTTCTTTTTAAAAATACAAATATTTATGGATTTCATCTGGGCAGTTTAAAGAATGTATCATATTTTGTTAATTATTTGTATCAATCAGACCTTTCCTCTCGGCAGAAATTGAAGCTATTTTGCTAAGTACTTGATTTCCATTAAGTCACGGATTTTTTGTAGTGATTTTACTATCTTTCAGGTTCTTCTGTAGTGACATGCAAGTCAGTATTTTCACTATTTTGTCCCAGCTAGATGTTATAATAATTGATCTGCAAATATGAGTCATATTTTTCCTTGTAGCAGTAATTAATGTGATTGAGTTTTAAAAAATTAAAACAAGGAGAAGCAAAATCACAACTCCCTCCTGTATTTATGTGAAAACAATTAACTGCAGTAGTTAAGTGCAAAAATAGATGTCTGAGGAAAATGAGAGTATGATTACAGGCTTCAGTGTTTACAGAGTAAGTAATAAAGGCGTGGTGGTGTAACACCCCTCAGTCAACAAGGACACACAGAGATGCAAATCTGTGCTGGGATTGTGCTCTGAGGGCTCTCCCTGATGCCTTTCCTGGTGTCTCTGATAGACATCCCTCAGGGTTCCTATTTATAATGTAGCTGGTTTGAAAGGGTGTCCTTGTAGTCACATGCATCGTGTCCCAGTGACCTTCCAGTGCAGTGACAGAAGAACTTTTAAACAGATTTTGTCCCAGCACACAGTGGATATCTTACTGTGCATATTTACAAGTGGGCAGATCTCCTGTTTGATACATTTGCATATTTATATTCTTGCTGTTGATGTCATGGAACTAGTCCTAGAATGGGCTGATAAATGCTCTTGCCTCAGGAACTGGAATCCCTGAGGTTGGTTATCCATCATGCTGTCAATGACTATGAACACAATGTTATACTTGATTGCTTTAGTTCTTCCCGAAGGGAACAGAAATACTCTTCTTTTCATCATATTTTTCCACTGATAGTAATGGGCCAACATCATTGCAAAGCTCCTTTTGTTCTTGGCATACTTTAAAATGTCTTTTTGCCCTGACATCTTTTGCTCTGCTCATTGCAGATTTTATTTTCTTGGTGGTTTTAACTCTTCTGTGCAGTGAACCACAGCAAAAAAGAATACACTGTATAATGGTGATGTGTGGGTTTTGTCTTGCTTTTCAAAACCCAGTGTTTTGTTTCTGGAATGCAGTTTAGCAGCACTTGGGTCATTGTTTCTTGTTTTCTTATGTTAACCATATAATACACCCCAAGTTGCTGCTCTGTCACCAGGTGTTTTCCAGGCTAAGCAGTAACTCCATGAAAAACAATTAGATAAATGAATAAGTATATTTTATCTTTGATTGCTGTGTAAACAATCAGTGCCTTTTGAGGAATTTGTCAGCACCTTTTGGGGAATTTGGTGAGTGAGCAATCTGTAGCTGACCCTGCAGAAGTAAAGCCAGCAAAACACAGCCCTGGTTCTTTTCCAACACCGTGTTCCCCTCCCTGTTTGCACAGGAACATGGTCTGCTGCAGCTTCAAGAAGGAGCATCATCATACAGCTTTAGGTCGGTGCTGTGTACCATGCTGTTGCTTTGCTATCATACTTTCATGACCTTTGTGTTAGGTAAGATGGTTTATAATAACTCTTGGATTTGATTAGTTCTTGTGGGACACAAAGGGGAGAAAGATGATTCCATCACCTATTTATTGGTGAATTGTTTGTAGCCAGATTAAATGTAGCTCGTTTGTGGGTAATTTTACAGTAATGAACATAACTGAAGAGCATGTTTTAATTTTCGAGATGGAGGTTTGTTTAACATGTAAGAAGGGAGATACTGGGGATGGCCAAGAAACTTGTAAGCACAAGTTTGTTTTAACCAGGTGCACTGTTGGGGAGGTTAAAATAATGGCTGTAAGTGATAATTGCTTTGTTGACATTGGATTTTCTTTGGGAGGTGACAGCTTCCTGCTAATGTGTACTTCTGTGTTATCTCCTGCTAAATCATGCTACAAAATGTGTTTATCTGTGGCTGAGTTTTCAAGCCAGGAAGCACAATGTTTTCAGGGCTTCCTGCTGCTGCCTTAGTGCAGCTCCAACCTGTATTTATGCTTTACTTAGTGGAGAGAGGAACCAACATTTTGGCCAATTAAGGATGGAAAATGAGCACCTCGTTCTTTTATTTTGCTTTGTTTTCTAACTATTTTTATCACTTGCATTTTTGTACATTCTAGGGACAGGAAAAGGAAATATTGAGGAGGCAGAAAAACTACTTAAGCCTTACTTGGCACGCTATCCAAAGGTAAAATGAAACATAATTTATTTGGTGTGATCATTTCATGATTTTGTACCAAAAATCAAAGATCTAGCCTGTATGGTCAGATTGAAAACTGTTATAGAATACTTGTATTTTTATTATTATTTATTACAGGGAGCCATATTCCTGTTTTTTGCAGGCAGGATAGAAACACTAAAGGGTAATATTGATGCGGTAAGTAATAATTTTGCTTACTAATTTCAAGTAAATTTCAAAAGCTTTGGAAAAATTCCTCCAGGAATGTTACTTCCTTTTTGGCTAATGCTTCCTCTGGATTTGGCCTATATGTAATTAGTAGTTTATTGAATTACAAATAGGAATTTTGTAAACTATTTTGACTAACTTGTTTCTCCACCTCATTTTGCTACCGCTCTCAATTTCTGGTGATAATCTAGCCCACCAGGACTAATGACACAGTTTTATCATTGTCTTTCCAATCCTGCAGCAGATTGTGTCTTTAATGAGACTCAGTGGTAATCTTTTGCCTTCAGTGTGAACAGAGTCATAAAAGACTTGAAAAAATTATTAAGATGAAGACTGCGTGTCCAAAACACATTGAGACAGAATATCAGCTGGTGTGCAGGGCAGTAGCTCCCTTGAAACCCATGGAAGTGTAGCAATAAATGCCAGCTGAGCATCTGTCCTCTGCCTTCACTTTCCTAATTTCCTGAGACACAAGATTAATTTCAAGTATGCTTAGAAACATAACTTTCAGGAATGGGGAGCTCTGTGGCAGGATAAACTTGCTAACACCAGGATGACTGTGCCACCAAGAATCTCCTGTGTGAAGCCAGCAGATGGGATTTTGGGAAATGCTGTGCTGTCAATAATTTGGAAACTGCAGGAGCCATGCAGGCAGATCCTGGAGCCCCAGTGTGTGTTACAGCTCTTCTGTCTGTGCATTAGACCTGACTAAGGCAGTGTTTGGAAATCTCTGTGTGCAGGCAGTCAGTAGGTACGAGGAATGCTGTGAAGCTCAGCAGTACTGGAAGCAGTTTCACCACATGTGCTACTGGGAGCTGATGTGGTGCTTCACCTACAAGCGCCAGTGGAAGATGGCTTTTTTCTATGCAGACCTGCTGAGCAAGGAAAACACTTGGTCAAAGGTAGGTTCAGGAGAGCAGGAGGCCCCATAGTATCTCTTAACTTTCAAGCAAATTGAGTTGACTTTTTGTAGCTTTGAAGGTGCAGACTGCAAAGTAAAACTTGGCCTGCTGTGACTGCTACAGAATAATGTGAATTGCAAACATTCAAATCTGAACATATGGTGGGCAAGCAGAAATCTTTTGGGCCCAACTGGGGGATGAACAGCAGCTAGTTAAAGATGCTGTGTATTGACTGGTTGTGTCATCAGATGTTGCAATTAATGGTGCAAGTTGCCATTTCTTTCATTATGCTGTGGTAAAAGCTCCTCTGCTGATGAGTGAGGTTAGCCACGGTGGTGCCTCCAGGGTAATAAATGCAATTAGAAGTGGCGCCTATCCCTGTGCATCTGGAAGGGAGAAGCTCTTTAATCCAGAGCCCTGGAAGCTTTCCTCCCTTTCTCTCTTCCCTTTTTGCCTTTTTAGAAATGGGAGTTTGTTTTCCACTATTCCAGTTAGTGGGAATTTTCCTGGACTGGCTTGACTTCACAGATATGATGAGCAGTGGCTTAGCAACATCATTCACCAGTTCCTGGGGATCCATGAAGTTGTGCACCTTCAGGTCCATTAGATGGTCTTGAACCCAAACTTCTCCTGCCCTGAGCAGTTTATCTCACATTCTCTGCCTTTGCTTTCTGTGACTCGGGCAGGGAGGCTGGGGCACTTGATGGTGAAGAGTGAGGAAAAAAGTCAGAGTTCCTCAGCCTTCTCCAGATCCTGGGTAACCTTGTTTCCTGTTTTCTTCCAGAGAGGGCCCACATTTTCTCCAGTCTTCCTTTTATCACCAACATGCCTATAGAGTCTTTCCTTGTTGCTCTTTCCACCCTGGCCAGACATCAGAGCGTTAGTTTTCCTAACCTGATCCCTGGCTGTTCAGACAATTTCTCTGTATTGCTCCCAGGCTACCTGTCCTTCCCCTCACCTTCTGTAGGTTTCCTTTTTGTGTCTTGAGTTTGTCCAGGAGGTCCTTTCTCACCCACATGGGCCTCCAGGAGTTTTTGCCTGGCTTACTCTTTTTTTGAGATGTGTTGCTCCTGGGCCTGGAGGAGGTGATCCTTGACTATTAACCAGATTTCATGGGCCCCTCTTCTCTCATGGTGCTCTACCACACAGATCCCTGAAGAGGCCAAAGTCTGCTCTTCTGAACTCCAGGGAGTGACTGTTTTCTAGAACCTACTGTTTGGGATATGTTACTAAGTTGTGATGGGACACAGAGGCTGTATAATATTAGGTTTTCTCTCTGAGCAAGACCTTATCTTAGGTTTTCTGGCATGTATTCCTAAGATACATGCTATTAAAACTATTAAAAACTTACTTTACTCAACCATTAAATTTGCTCTTGGAATTTGAACACAAACTATAAGCTGATGCATACTAAACAAACACATACATGATTTAAAAACAATATTCTATAATCATTTTCTAAAATACTTATCTCTTACTTAAATTTTTGTAAGACTGTGAGCAAAAACAGCAACTTCTTCCCTTTATGTTGCTGTTTTGGGCTTTATATGAATAAAGGTGATGCTGTAAATTCATTTTTCTGTATAAATATTCTTCATTGCATTTGCAGGCTACTTACATTTACATGAAAGCTGCTTATCTCAGTATGTTTGGACCAGATGACTGCAGTCCTTTTGGAGACAGCGAAGTTGAATTATTTAGGTAAAATTTGCAAACTCACAGTTACAACAGTTTACTATCTTTTCAAGTCAAAGTGTTGGGGGAAGAGAGGCAAAATTATTCATCATACAGATTTGAAGAATTGTGCAAATAGCATTGGATTGGTAAGAAAATGCAGAGTTAAACAACTTTAGACTAAAGTGGACCCTGAGTTTGGACAGCAAATTTCTCCTGGCCATACAGTGGCTGCTGCTGTTCCATGTAATACATTTTTTTTTAGTTACATTCCATTTTGATTAAAGGAAGCAAGATGTGAAAACCTTCAATGGATTGTGCTGCAAGATGTGTTTTTCCTTAGTGGGAGCATCAGCACAACTTGACTCTTGGGTTCAGAGCCTCAGGGAAGTAAGAAATAATTAAATGTGCAAGCGAATCTTTGCATTATAAACACACTGAGATAGCCTCACTGTGATAATGTAGTGTTTAAGCTCAAAAAGGCTTGCTGGGGCAAAGAAAATTTGGTTAGTTTAGGATTTACAATTTTTCTATGAAATCTAATTTTTTAAAATGTGATTACAATGCTCTTTTCAAGTTTTCTCTGTCTTTTGTATCCATTATAAAGCGAATAGTTTTACTCTTTGGGAGAATGGGAAGACAAAAGCTAGTTTGCCTCTTTCTCAGTCTGTGAAGAGAGATGAGCCCTTTATAAGTCAGGTGCATCATCTAATTTAATCTTTCAGTGGGGAAGAGTCCCTCTCCTCCTGCTTGATTAAAGAGGAAGCCTAAAGATAAACGTGCCCTGCATAAAGACAGCTTTTGTGAGTATGTATTGCTCAGTTTCCCCGAGGTAGCAATAGCTCAGTGTGTGATAGCTTTTTTAAGTTCTCCTTAGTTTGATTTTTTTTTTTTGTATTTACGTTTGAATGTCTTCATCTCAGAGGTTCACAGGGGAAAAATTCCTTACACTTTCCTTTAAACTTTCAGGATTGTTCCCAGTCTGAAACTGAAAATTGCAGGGAAGTCTTTGCCCACAGAAAAGTTTGCAATTCGGAAAGCACGACGGTATCTTTCTTCAAACCCCATTCCTTTACCTGTCCCACCTTTGGTAAGTTAGAAATATCCACACACATCCCCTTTTCAACATTTTTGTGATTTAGAGAAATAAACCCGAGATAATTGGAATAGTATCTTTCCGTGTTTCTAAGGTAAAACCTCTGCAGGAGACTGGAATGTTCCCAAAGCAAAGCCAGATGAATGTGAGGAATGCTGTAAAACTGGGGCATGCACCAGCCACAGGGAACTCAGCCAGCTGTTTGTGACACGTAAATGTGTTGCATGTGTAACTCATTATTCCAGCTATAGAGAGCGTGCTCCCAACAGCTTTCTTTTGATTCCCTTTAGAGGAACTTTGCCCTGGGTCTCTTCTGTCGTGTCACTTGCTAACAGAGGACTATAAGGTACAAGGAGGGGTGGTGTCAAGGGAACAATGGAAGGTTTGAGGACTGCGTGCAAGGAGCTGTTTAATGTGCCCCTGAATGTTTGCAGTTTGGTGCTCTCCAGAGCAGCTCATGGGTGCTAGGATGAAACAACTGGCTCCTTTGGCCACCCCAGAAAACCACTGCGACTGCTGGGGGTTTTGTTTAATTTTTTTTTCTCTGTAATGCTGGCCTGTTCCCTGTGGCATGAGGCACCCAGTTGCACTTACAAAAATCTGTCTACAAAGGAACATGTAAAAAAGAACATAAAAGGGTTTTAAGTCCGGGGATTGCCAAGTGCAGTGTTGTTAACACTTGCAGCACTTTGAGCTGTTGTGTTTTTAAGAAAGACATGGATAATTAGCAAATACTCTGTTAGAAATGCCAGAACAAGGAGAGCCTCTTGGAGACCACTCCCCAGCCCACCAGGGGTATGTGACACCGTGCCTCTTGAAATAGTTTCTACAGCAGAGCGTGGGTATTCACCAGGGGCCACGTTCCATAGTAAGACTGAAGTGAGAGAAATAATGAGGTTACTTTGATGTGTCTTTCAGGTGTCAGAGAGGAAGGAGTGTACACACCTGGGGTTTGGCTGGACTATCCTGATGGGATTTTGACAGAGCAGGTTTCTGTACCAGGAGCTCTCTGGCTGGGCACTGTGTCCTTGGCTCCTGTGCAGTTGCATTTCCAAGGCAGCAGATGCCGCAGCTGAACAGATAAAAGCATTTTATGGATGTGGAACTAGGGACAGAATCTCGTCTCCAGGATTTTTCTTTTCATTATCAGGAGACTTGCTGGAAAGAGTGAGTCCTCAAGCAAGTCTTAGCTCAGAGATTTAGCTTGAGTAAATGTGATTTGAATACTTCTGTTTGAAAACCATGTTAATGAATCTGCACTAGGTCTAGTAAGCTCAGCACAGGTTTTCCAATCAGCAGAGACCAGATGGTGAAAGCAACAGTGACTGGGGTTAACATGCTGTTTCAGCTATTCTAGCCTGACAGCTTTTTATGCTATAGTTCCACAATTCAGTTGTTCTATATATAAATTTTATCCAAATGCTTTAAATTATCACACGTAGATAAGGTCATGTAAATAAATAGAAGAAATATATCAAACACTGATCTCTTCTCTCTGGTGATCAGTGACAGAGCCTGAGGGAATGACATGAAACTATGTCAGGGAAGGTGTAGGTTGGGTATTAGGTAAAGGTTCTTCAGCCAAAGAGTGGTTGGGCACTGAACAGGCTCCCAGGGAATGGGCACAGCACCAGCCTGACAGAGCTCAAGTTTTTAGCACTCTCAGGCACAGGGTGGGGTTCTTGGAGTGCTATTGGGCTGGAATCAATGATCCTGGTGGGTCCCTTCCAACTCAAATTTTGTGATTTTATGATTAAATAATACATCATGAAGGCCAATTGTAGGTTTATATAGTGTTTTCTTCTTTCACTTTGTGATTGGTAGAAGCAATGGGTACATTTGGTGATACAGTCTAAGAATCCTAAGCAAATAGGAATTCAGCCAATAGTTTTAATAAAACTTACTCTAAGACAGTTGAATAATAAAGAAGTTACTTTCTTTGGGAACATCAAACAAACCTGAGGAATGTAAGAGGTTTACATTTCAGATGTAAAATTCTATTGGTTTATTTGAAACTTGGCTTAAAGGTTAGAGGGCTTGGTTTTCTTTTTGGTTCGTTTTGCTGTCCTGAGATTTCATACTTTTTCTGTGGAAGCAGTGTATTGCAGTTATTTATGGGTATTACTGCCTTTGCTAGGATAGAACTGAAAAACAAGAGGAGACCTTAATGAAGTGACAATTAGCCATGTGCTATGAATGTTTTAAGTCTGTTTAATTGGTACTTGCCTTTTTCTATAAGTGAAAATATGTTTGCATTCTTTTCAAGCAATCCCTTTTGCATTGTGTACAGTAAGTGACTCTTGAGGTGTTTTCCAGGGCTTTTTGTTCTAAAAAACAGTGTAATAAATTTTCAGTTGTAATGAAAATACATTTTGACAAGCTGACTTTATTTAAGGAACCTGTAACTTTTTCATCATGCAGAGATAAACTGAAGTATTTGACAACTACGTTTATCCAGTGCTGTAATTAATGGTGCTGTCATTTCTCCCTGACCCCAGGAAATGATGTATATCTGGAATGGCTATGCTGTAATTGGAAAATGTCCCAACTTAACAGAAGGCATGTTAGAGACTTTAAATGAAGCAGAAGAAGCACTGGCAAGAAGTTCAGGTAACCAGTGGTAGGGTTTAAGTAGTTATTTTACACTACAATAGCTGGAGATATTATCTGTGAATAGAGGCACACTCATTAGTAAAGTTAATTGGGTCACAGGAGGAACATAGATAATGAAACCACAAACTGTTTATGCAGGTAGGAATATTTTTTATTTTCAATGTAGCAATAACTTGCAATAATAGCAAGTGATTTTCCATCCACAGGTGTGTTAGGGATGGTTTATGGCATGTGATAAATGTTTATTTTCCTAGATCAAAATCAGCATATGCATTGACTTGATTACTTAGATCCTAAAGCTTTGTTATCCTCAGATTTTGTTATCCTCAATTTTGAAGGATAAATAGGAGGAGAGTTGTTTTTTTGTTTTAAAAGTGCTGTCAGTTTGTGATGTGACCTTTGGGCTGAATGTTCTGGTGTCACCAGTGTGCTGCAGAAATCCAGGACACCAGGGATGGCCTTCTTGTCAATGAGCACAATATGGGACTGAAGTGAACTGAAACAGGCTGTGCTATCACATTTTCTGTCAGCTTCTTCATTAGCTGTCCATGGTGTTTATTTCTTGTCAGTCTTTCCCAGCTCCTGTGGGAGTGCAAGCAGTCTGCACAGCATTTCTCAGAGTTTTTCCTTGACCAATATTTGATCTTATTACTATTATATACAACCTTCCTGTAAAAGGATCAAGCCCCTGTTGACAAAGGAATATAGGCTAAAACACTGCATTGCAGTCTTTTCTAGGGCCTTAGACTTCTGTGTAATGAGTTAAACAAGATTTGAAAGGATTGCCTGAAAGACTGGCTAAAACTATCTATTTCTAATTAATTGAAAAAAAGAATGGGAAAATATTTTCAGTGAAGGTGGCATCTTAGAAAAAAGCCTTTGAGCTTTTCACCTTCTTTGTCACCCATTTTGTTTCATCATTTTAAATAAGTGAAGTATTTTCCTGTTTCCATTTTTTTCTTAGTTGGCAAATTGTGGCTAAGGCTGCATTTTGCAGGGATTTGTAGCAGATTCATATTTGTAGAACACTATGTGGACATGTAATTGATGAATTGGAAATGAGCAACCAAGCTGAAGATTCTGCCTGCAAACTTTTAAGAGTAAGCTGCCTATATGGACTGGTTATGAAAAACTCAGAAGTTTTTTTTTATATGTATTATGCAGAAATTTTCTGATGGAGAAAGGGTGTTGATAGTAAGGATTTTGAACTAAATGAAGCTGGTAAGACTCTGGGCTCTCAGAAGTATAAACTCCAAAGAAGGTATGGTAAGATGTGAGGTACAGGTAGCAAAGTTTCACATATTTTTATTTAGTCAAATGAAGGTAAAAAATTGACAAAATTCTTGCCCATGAATAGGCCATGTGGCTACAGGTCAGGAAGCAGAAGAGCTGTACAGGGCAATAAAGGCAAAGGGTTGAGAGACTGTAAATTGGACTTCAGTATTTACAAAATGGACACCTTAATTCGTTTTTAGGTGTCAGAGCAGTAAGACTGGAATAGCCATTCAGTGGGAGTAGGAAGAGAAGGAACAGTCCAACAATGTTTAGACAAAGTTTGATCAATTGAAAAGGTTGATGTGTGTTTGTCTCTGCATTAAATTAAATTCACCAACTAGTTCTTTCCTGTGTTTCAGTGGATGGACTGTACTCACACTTACCTTTGAAAAGTTCCCCTACAGGCAGAAAAGTCTCCTCTGTTCTGGAGTTTTCTAAAATGTGCCATTTACTTCCTCCAGCAGCTACAGAACTACTGGCAGATGACCGGTGTGTGATAAAGCTGTTAAAGGGATTGTGCTTCAAGCATCTGGGCAAGATCTCAGAAGCAGAAGACCATTTTAATTACATCTATTTAAAGTAAGTTTTCATACCTGGCATATAGGAAAGCTCTTGAGTTTCAAGTAAGAGGAGATGCAACCATGATATGAATAGAAGGGAGAGGACTGAAGTATCTTTAGTGCTTGCTTCAAGGTATTTCAATTTTAATTTCCACTGTTGTTAGCCACGTGTTGAAGAATTTCAAATCTTCAATTTTTATTTTTAAATATTTTTTTTATCAAAGTATTTTCTCCTTTTCTGGGGGACTGTAGGTGTACAACATTTTTCAGATAGCACTTAGCTTTTATTGTCCCCTTCTTCTTCCCAGTCATGAGGAAGCTGTACTCAAAAAGCCAAATGCACTCTGCAAGACAGGTGGGAACATGATTACACTGGGAACTTGTGCACATCATGTGGTGAATGACACCTCTTTGTCAGCTCACATGGAGAGAGCTCATGATACTGTCATCTTTTCTAACACTTCCCTGATAATAAAGGCATTATTTTCTAATCCTGAGATTATACATACTGTGTAGGATGCTTATGCAAAATACACATTTAATAACCCAGAAGGGATAGAGAACATGACAAGTGTCGTAATAGAGATTGATTGCTCCTTCTGATCTTAGCTAATCTCCTATTTATTTGTGTTTGGAGCTGTTAAATAAGAGAAACAATATATCATTTCAAGGTCTCTAGGCTATTTCTTTTCCAATGCAGTGAGAAGAAGATAAAATATGACCATTATCTAATTCCAAATGCCTTGCTGGAGCTGGCAATACTGTATCTGGACCAGGATAGGAGAGAAGAAGCAATAAAACTTCTGGAAAAAGCAAAGTAAGTGAAAAGCCTGTGTTGGTGTCTGATCGATCAGTTGGTGTTTTACTGGTTAGCAAGAAGCAGAATATTTTCATTATATTTTCATCATGGAAACTCCTTTCATTTTTCCAATGGGAGCATTCATACTTTAGTTTTGGTTTGGACCTTTCCAGTGGTAGGTGTTACATTTGTTCAGTCTTGGACTTGCAAAAAGAGCCAAAAACATTAAGTATCTTCATAGGAATGTCAAAGGCTTCCATAAGAAAGAATCCATGTGTAACAAAATGTAATCATCTTTGTAGTCTACTTGCTTATTCATATAAAAGATGTATTAAAGTAAATCAAAGCTCTGTGTAATGGCTAAAATGCCATTACTTAAACTGATGGCCGGCAGTGTCTGTTTCTTTCCTTGATGAAATACATTTAAGATAATGCTTCAGGTTACACTTGGTATCTTTGTATTGTTTCATCTGCATCAAGGCAACTAAAACACCTGCCTTTACTGTTTTGTGTGATTGGTTTTTCTAGCAAAGCAGGTTTATGGGAAGTTGGACTTGATCGTGTGTGTTCTTCGTTATAAAATTAACAAAATATGGGGTTTGCCTCTGTTTGAACCTTTATTTCTCTGCTGAGCCAAAATTTTGGCAGTGATGGGGAGGGAAGAAATCCAACCCAAACAACTCTCCCCTCTTTAAGCATCCAGGGTAGTTCACCTCTGCCTGGATCCTGAATGAGTCCAGATGTGCAGTCACTGCCACAGGTGTGACAGCTACAAAACTGATGCCTGCCCCTGGGTCAGAGAGGTCAGATTGAGTTTTTATGTTGCTTTCTGTCCAAGTCAGGCAACCCTGCAAGTCAGAGTAGCAAATGAAGCCTAGAAAAGATTATGCCAAAAGCCTGTCAGCACAAAAATTAAAATATTGCAATCCTTAATCTCCTGTGCTTCTGAGCCTGGTTCTCTGTAGACTCATGGAAGACATTAAGAACAGCAAAAATTACATTATAACAAAGTGCAGTGGAAAGTGTTTCAATTGGTTTCATGTGCCTCAAAACGCACATCTCCTGTCCTCGTTTCCTTTTTTCAAATCTCTCTTAACAAGAGATCTAGAAATGAATGATCTGGAGCTGCTGATTCCAGCTGGCACTTCTGTCATTGCTGCTTGGCCATTGCACCTTTCCCTGGCAGCTCTGAGTGTCTCAGGTCCCCTCAGAAGGTGTTCGACTTAACAGACAGCAGCTCTGAAAAATGTGCTGTGCTCAGTGTATGAAAGCTGCTTCTCAGGCTTGCTGTGCTCAAAGAACTCTTGAAAACTATAATGACATAAGGAAAAAAAACCCAAACCAAAAAACCAAAACAACAACAACCAAAAAAAAATCCCCACACACCACCCTCATTACAAACCCCCTTATTTCAGTCAGTCATAAATACAGGTGCAGCTGTTACATTTCCACCTGTGGCATTGAAATGCTCGGGGTTTCAGTACAAGCTCTGAATGTCTCGGCAGCCCTGGGAGGGAGGGCAGGGCGTTGGTGGGGCTGGGGCTGCACAATTCAGTTTGCAGTTGGCAGGAGCGCAGGCGAGCGCTTGGCTGCTGCGTGACGCTCGATTTGCCTGACCTAAATCCACGTCCTGCTGCTGGCTTGGATCCTCAGCTCTGGGAGAAAGAGTGGGATGAGATGATAAACAGTTTTGGCTTGGTCATGCATGGAAATATTTCTGTTTGTATGACTGTAAACTACAAACAAGAATATCAGTGTACTCGTGAAGAATACAGGCTCGGCACGACAAAATCGATTCCATTTAAAGGAAAAACTCCAAGGGGTTTCAGATCAGCACACAGCAGAACCCAGCCACCTCCTTTTCTCAGTCAGCCTCTGGGGTGTTGCATACATTAAATTGTAAGCTGGTGTAGGATGGACATGGAATTCCTTGTTTTCACCAAGAGACTGGCACTGCTACAGACAGATAGCACACTGCCATGCTTGGTTTGAATTATGAATTTAGAACTGAAATGCTGTTAAGATACACAGAGTTTAATACTTAATGTTATGTTTTGTAAAGATGACAAATATCTTCTACAAGAAAATTAGCATGGTCTAATCCTCTTTTGTATCTGGATTCTGTATCCATCCTGTAGGAGCTGACATGTTAATTCCTACTAAGTAGGATCTGCAATTTCTTTGTGGTCCTGGGGCAAATTTTCTTCCTTTTATATACACTTTTTCATGAAAATACAGGTTCTTTGAGTCTTCCAGTAACTCTGTAGAGCATGACAGAACTACTGGAAACTGTAGGCAGATGACAGTGCAGAGCTAGGCCCTAGATGGGTGTGGTGCAAATCCTCCAGTCTTTCTCTGGGATGGTGAATTGCTCCTCAAAAGCCGATATGGAATCTTGTGTGTGCTCACTTTCTCTTTCCAAGCTCTGGAGCAGCAAATTGTCTGCTTCCTTCATTTCCTACACACAGAATTCACATTGGTGGCAAACAGGATGGAGATGGGGTGTTTTCCCTTCTCTCGCTCTCTTTTTTCTGGTTTTTTTTGCCCCTCTTTACTGACTTGAAATGAGTCTGCCTTATTAAAATTATTTTTTAAAAATGCTGAGTATATTTGTATTAAAATCTGTCAGTTACTCCTTGAGAGGGGAAAAAAAAATTCTAATTTCTGAATGTAAACTAAGTGGTTGTTACAGATAATTAATATGGACTCAATATTTTGATTGAGTGGACCAGAATCAATTTCATATTAAACTATATATTTCTGTTAATTGCCAGACAGTGGAACTACAAATAAAGAACAAAGAGCTGCATTGTTTGGCCAGGAACACATGCCTTGTATTTTAGAGTAGGCAACAAAGGAGCTTGTGAAGAAATGATTTTTTGCTGTCTCCTGTTGTTTTGCTTAAAACAGTAATACAAAGATAACTTAGAAATGTTTTTAAAATATATATTCATCGGAGTGGATCTTCTTTTGTTTCAGACAAAACTACAAGAATTACTCCATGGAAACAAGGACACATTTCAGAATTCAAGCTGCCCTGCACCAAGCCAAATCCGCCCCAGAAAATGGAATGCACTGTGGAGCCTCAGCAGTGTCGTAACATTTTCTTCTTTGATGTTCTGTTTGTTGCAAACTTTGTGCAGAAAATTACTGACACTTTAGAATTATTTTTCCTTCTCTTTCAAGTCAGTGAAAAAAACCAAATAACTTAAAATTTCAAAGGTGATGCATAAAACATTTGTCTAGTGTAATAACATGGCAAAAAATCTCTCAAACCAACCATAACCCTGAAAAATATTGTTTTTCCAACCGTGGCTTTTTGAATACTTACATCTGTGTAATTCATTTTTCAATCGTGTGCCTTTTTCTTGCGTTCGCAACATTATGTTGTAGCTTGCTTAGTGAAAGGGGAACATTTGAAAAAAAAAACAAACAGCAAAACTTCAAGATTTCCAAATTTAACCTCAGTTAGTTCTAAATGTTTGTTTGGGTCCATACTGCTAGCAGCTGAGAAGGAAGCATTGCTTTTTCCCAGTACCTGCTTAGCTGGAACGGTGTGAGAACATCTCACAGCAGGGAGGAGCTCTGGATCTTGGGCATTTCTGGTTGCGCACAGAAAGCTTCTCTTTACCAGCCTCTACTAGCCACGTTTTTGCTTCTGTAAGAAACCTGCTGGTGAAAAGAATGGTCTCCCTTATGCAAGTACCTTGACTTTTTCTTTAGTTTGGTTTTCCTGTCAAGTCTGCTGCTTGTAGCAGCTGAACTAATTTACTGAGGCTTGCAGGGGGAACGGTGGTGACAGCATAAAACTGCATCACTTCCTTGATAATGGGAGGTTCTTAGGAAATGTCTTATCAGAATGAGCATGATCTGAAGCTTGTGTTAGATTGGAAGCACAAGTCCTTGAAGGTCATTTAGGAAATGGCAACACTGCAGTGGCTGGAGCCATACAGGAGTTACTGTGACAGTCCAGCCCTTCCTACAGTGACAGCTCCTAGGATTGATTCCCAAGCTGAGACGTCCCTGTTGGACAAGGCTGATGTTCCCTGTGGGAGGAAGCTGGGGCTGGAGCAGACTCCCTCAGCACAAAGGACAGCCCTTGATCTTTGTGCTCTTTATTGATCTTTTGGGAGATTCTCTGTATAACGGGCTTTGAGTATAGATCAGTGAGCTGGGTCTGCTTTCCAACACTGCCATGGAATTCCTGCTTTGCTGGAAAACTGAGGAAGTCAGTGGTACCAGAGCTTTGTCTCGTGTTTGCTGTTCTCCAGGCTAGCTCCATGTCTGTATGCCTCTGGGGTTTTGGGGCACACTTCTACCTCCCTTTTGAAAGAGCTTCTTCCCCATTACCTATTCTGATGGGTGGAGATGGGAGGTCTTCTGACAGCCCTTTTTCTCCAATGGAGACGTTTGTCAGGAAGATTCATACCTATGTACCTCACAGTGAATATTCTTTCTAAAGTGATTGTTCCCAGCAGAAGAGAAAATTGACAGTTTATAGCTCTGCTTTTGCCTTCTCAAAGGAAATAAAATTGTTTTATAACTAGATTAATATGCAAGGAGACAGAACCACCAGTTCCTCACCAGCTCCTCAACAAGGAGAGCTTGCATTATCTTAAAAATAGATACCCTTTATAGAAGTCTTTGCAAATTAAAAATCATAGATGAAGAATGCATTTTTTAAAGTGACTTTCTCAGATGAATTCAGTTCCAACAAATTTCTCGGTTCAGATAAAATTCAGTATAAACAGTTATGCTATTTACATGCTGCACATCAAAACTTCAGTGTAAAAAGTCAGTCATTCTTTGTATAGAATAAAAAAAGTTTCTTGTTCTACTTCATGCATATAACGCCTCTTCTTCCTGTTGTGTCCTTTTCAAATATTTTGGCAGCCTTAGCATCTTGTAAGCAAGAAATGCCATGTGAAAATTAGCATAAATTGTACTTTGCAGAAAGTGAACAATCCTTCTGAGTGTAGATTCATTTCTCATCTTTGAAATTTCACCCACAACTTGGTTTTGCCTGATCTTAGATACATCACACAAAGGAAGTACTGTGTGATACTCAGCCAGCTTCCCTGATGCTTTGCAGCAATGAAAATCCCAAGATTTTCCTAAGGTTTTCATAACCTTCCTAAGATTTTCATAGTCATCTTTCCTCAAACACCAGCACCAGTCACACTGTGGACCTGATCTCTAGCTTCAGTGAGTGCTCTGTAGTTCACTGTGATGTTTCACTCTGGCTCTTTGACTCTCAAGCCATAACAAGTAATCGCCTTCCTTATGCAATGAGGATTTATGGATTGTTACAGTATGGATTCACTTGAGAAGATGAGTGGAAGCTCTGGTACATTGTCACTGTGTAAGTTTTTTGATGTGTTATGTTTGCAATTGCCCAGCATCACTCTGCTCATCAGTTCCTTCATTTTGGTTCTCCTCCATGACAGGGACCCAAACTCTGTGGGGTCAGTCTGGGCTGGAAGGTCAGTGCTGGGCTGGTTTTTCCATTGCTCCTCCAGAAGCTTTTGTGTGGTGCCTTGAGCAGCTCTGCAGGACAGTAAATTGCTTCATCAGTCTGGAGTCCTAAATGCAGTGGATCAGGGGAAACACAAATGTGTGAGTTCTCACCTCAGGGTATTCACTTAGCAGAAAATAGCAGATATTGTCATTGAATTACACATCAGAGACTGAAGTATGACTGCAGACATAGTCCACACCTCAACTGCAGAAGAAGCAGTTCCTTCTGCACTCAAACACTGAATTGTCTGAGCAATGCTTGAGAAACCCACTCTGTGCACCAGCTTTAGCCAACAACTGCTGCAATCAGCTCTTCCCCATCCTCAGCAAAGCCAGAAATGTTAGCCAAAGAGAAAAATTACTAACTCAGCAGAAAAGTTTTCTGCGCTTTGTAGGACCTTTATCATAAAACCTACAAATTTGATTTCTATGTTTTTTGTTTGTGTTTTTTTTAACTAGTAAGTGTTTTCCTGCCAGTAACCAAGGAGGGATAGAAATTCCTACTCAGTTTCCTGGATGTCTGCAGCAGCAGCCGTGGTGCCCCATGGGACAATGCTGTCACCTGAAAGTGGTGCTGGCAGGAAGGGCAGGGCAGTAAAAGGGGCATCCCTTTTATCATGAGCTCTGTTATGTGGAATCCCTGTGTGCAAGGCCTCTCTTGAACTGAAGGAGGAGAGGGGCTGAAGAGCCAGCAGCTCCTGCTGAAGTCTGATCAGGTGCAACTGCATCAGCTCCTGTAAGTAACACAAGATGAGCTACAAACTGTTGGGTGAAGGATGTTGGGTTGGAGCTGGACCTGGACACAGCTTTTCTGGATGGTTAGAAGAGAATTTGATGAAGTCACAGACATGATGCAGAACTATGTGATCTGGAAACACACACTTAAGATTGCTCAGCTCCACCTGCTGTGTCATAGGAGCCTGCTTTGCTTACTGACACACAGTTCAGTGGCCATCCACAGTTCACACGTGGCACCAGGAATGGATGGTTTAAGAACTGTCCCCTTCTAACTCTGCCTGGCCTCAGGCTGTTTGCACCTCAAAACTTGGCTTAGGAAACAGCATTTTATGAAATACAGCAGCGTAGAACAGGATCATATCAGGCATTTCCTCCCATTTCACACTGGTTTTGGCATTAAATTCTGTATTGAGTGCTTTAGTATTTTTAGTTATCTGTGGCCTGAGTCCAAGACTAAAAACTCACTAAAAGCTCATAGGCTGACAGCTTGTGTGCCTCTGGCCCTACAGAGGCAACAAGTAATGCTTCTCCATGTGAGACAAGGCTTTCCTACAGGTCAGTCCCAGAATGCAAAAAACACTCCCAGGAGTATTTACACTCAGCCTCCAGTTCCACCTGCAAGATGCATTTCTTTGCCTTCTTAAGCATAAAAACACAGCAGCAAAGCAAATATATGTGAAATGACCAAAACAAAGCATTCAACACTGTTCCCCCTCTGGGAGGAAGAGGAGAAGATAAAGAGGTGAGTCATGTTGTTTACTGCTCTACAGGAAAATGGGTAATGGTTGGCAACATCACTGATGAATGAGATTGGGGAACCTGAACAGACTAGAAATGAACTTGATTCTTTTCTCATTATGTTCTGCAAATGCATTTTGGTGGCAGATTATGTGCAAAGCGTGTACCAGCAAGTGTTTTAATTGAATGATTTGTCATCATAGAATATTTTTTAAAGATGCTATCTAGGTTTGCTTCAGGTGTTTTAAAAAAAAATTCAAGTACTTTCTTTTAAGGACATGCCCAGTCAATCCCTGTCTCAAAGATTTATGAATAGCAACAGAGCTAATAAATACCTGTATTGCACTGTGGTAAAGTTCTGCATAGTGTTTGCTAAAATTCAGTCATGACTCTGTAGGACTGGACTGTGCTCCATTATCTTCTGTGGTTTTTTAAAACCTCAGGACCTACTTATTTTCATTGCTGGCTAAGCATAGGCAAAATGGTTATTTAGAATTATGCATTACAGGGAAATTTACTTGCTTTCTCTCTCCTTGGCTATTTTACAGAAAGAATACAAAACAGAGCAGCCATAACCCCCTACATGCTCTTTTTACGGGCTGATTCAATTTTTCAAAAGGCAAAGAAAAGTTTATCTTGTGCTAGCAAAGTACAGGAACAGCAGTTTCAGGCCTGTGGTCTAAAAGTAATGTAGTGATGTGGAGGAAAGAGAAGACAGGCAGAAGCTGCAATACTCTGGACAGTTTTCCTCTTCCCATTCCTTTTATCCTGCAGCACAGAGGGTGTGAAGGTAAGAACAACGTCCTTGGTGCTGGAGCTGTGCTTGGTGTCAGCTGTGTCACAGGGCCAGTCCCAGGATGGGACTGTTCTGGGGAAGGTGCTGGTGTGAGATGCCTGAGCTGCCTCTGCTCTGCAGATGTGGAACAGAACTGTCTCTCAGTGCACTTCAGTAAATCACTGTGGGGAGTGAAGCAAGGCTGTTAACTCCAGAGGATCCTAGAATTACGTGGCTCATGTTCAATGTCATCTTCATCTGGGTACAGTGCCCAGCACTGCTCTCACTACCACTAAGGTTGTGCAGCTGCAGAAGTTTTTAGATGCAAACATCAGGGCCAGTTAGAGTTTTGATATTTCAGTCACAGATACAGTACCAGGTTGGAAGGGATCTCAAGGATCATCTGGTCCAACCTTTCTTGCCAAAAGCAGAGGCTCGGCAAGGTGGCCCTGCACCCTGTCCAGCTGAATCTTAGAAGTATCCAGTGTTGGGAGGCCTAACATTCCAGTGACTGATGCAATTGTGAGAAATTTGGTTTGCCTTTCATTCTTATGGCTTGTAGAAACCTGAGTTTCCGTTCTGTGATGCAGGCTGGGCTCATCACTGATGCAAATAAATGGTGATATTTCTAAGGAACAGGAGGAATTCCATGCATAGTGCCTTTGCTACAGCTCTGCTGTTGTCTGATCTGTCAGACACACACATACATAAAGAAAAGCATATATAAATATACATAAAACATCTATATATGTATACTCACACCGTGGTAACAGGTTCTGGAATCAAAGCTTTTTGGAAAGTTACCAGAACTGTTTGAACTATTTATTAATTTCAGGACTTTAAAAAGGCAATATACTTTAAAAATAAGAGAAAGCTTTGATGATGGTTGAGGGAAATGCAGAGGTTAAAGGCCTTTATTAATGGTTTGCAGTAGGATCGCACTGCAGGACTGTGCAGTTTGTAGCCTTCTAGAAGAAGAAATCCCGCGGCAAACAGGGAATCTAGCAAGAGCCTTTCAGTGGGGTTAACCTCACAAAAATGCAGTTTTATACTCTAGATTTGAAGGGCATCAGTTTTCACTCTGGACTAGCAGAGCTCTGCCTCAGTGGGACAGTGCCTGGGATGGCTCTGTGCTGCTCACAGAACAGTTTTGGAGTGATTCATCCTTTCCCCCCTTGAATTCCTGCCTTGTCTGCCTCCCTCAATCTGCTTTCCCAGCGTGAATCCTGGATTGCACAGGCAGCTCCTGCTAATGTGGCAGAAGTGTGGGCAAAAGATGCTGAAAAGGTGAAGTTTCTCTGTCATGGAGCAGTGAGAATCCTGGCAAAAGTGCAGCAAGGGAGCAAAGTGAGGCTGGGAAGTGCTCGGTGTGGGCAGCCAGGGCACGTGTGGTGTGTGTGGTGAATCCAACGTTTACTGCGGCGTGCACAGCTCTTGAAATGCCTTCTTGGACAGAAACTCAATTTTTTTGTAGGTGTTGGTGCTGCCAACAGCAGGTTTATGAAGTTTCTGCTGCTTGTTTTCCAGCCGGGAGGACAGGGGAGGGCTGGGGGCTCTCTGTGCACGCTCCGTGTGGCTGAGCCCCTCTTGCTGAGTAAGCAAATACCTCGGTGCTGGGGGAACACTGAGAGGGCTTTGCACAAAACATTTCTTCATTATAAACTCCTCTCTGCAGCTTTTACTTAGCGAAGTGTCAGAGCAGAGTGGATGTTGTAATGAATCAGTTGCTATCATGAAAATACAGTTATTTCTTTTCCTTAAATCAAAAAGATGCTTTAGCAGAGTGCATTTACACTGTTCTCTTTATCACAAAACGTTAACTTCTCATTTCATACCAAGAATTCCAAAGCCCCGAACCCTTATCCCAGAACAGGTTTAAATGCAAGATAATCTGGAAAGGATGGTTAGCATAAATTATATTCTTCAAAACTAAATGCTATATAAAAGGAAAAGTTAATCCTTGAAGCTAATTTTTATTCTGGGTATTAAGTCAAGAAGGGCTCTTCTGAACAGATTTTATTCATGTGTTTTATAGGTTGTCAACTAGAATGTGTGCTTTTAATAAAAATGTGGTATCTCTAACAAACTGTGTTTGTAATCAGCCAACATCCCCTTTTTTCTGAGTCCTTTTAATCCAGGATTTAACTGCTGAGAGACCCTGTACGTTTAGTTTCAGCCATCTTGTTATTTATTTCACTGGCATTCTGACTCAAAAGAATTTTCATCTTTACCACGATTACACAAGGACAGGAAATGTTGAAGTCCTGAAACTGAGGCAACTGAAGTAAATTCAGGTATTTCATAATCCCTCAGCCCAGAAATGTACCCTTCTGCCATTGGAAAGGGAGACTGTCAGCCTTCCAAACACGGAATTGCTTTCAGCCCTGGGAAGCTGCAAGACCATAGGAGCTTTTAAACCCTTATGTGGCTCATGCTCCTTAGAAAGAAATGCTCTGGGCTGGGTTTGTTTGTTTATGTACCATTCTCTCCCAGATTTACATAATGAACTGGCAACAAGTAATAAGGATTACCATCCTTAGATGTAAAATGATTAAAGTGGTAGTTCCTGCAGCATGCAAGAATTTTAAAGGATGAAGGTCTGTACAAAACTGAGTATTCCTTACTTGTCCTTACATCTCTGGCTTCAGGTTTGTGGGAGTTTCCCTCTCATGCAGGAGACAAAATCCATTTCCTTCTCTAATCTGCAAGAGGAACTCAAGTGGCTCCTGGGTGCAGGTGCTGCCCTCCCTCCCTGCAGTTTCTGCACAGCTCTGGCTCTGGAGGGACAGCAGGGATGTGCTGGCACTGACCTGGGGCGTGTGGTTTCACACTCAGTGTCCCTTGTGCTGCTGAAATGGAGCCTGGTGATCCCTCAGCCCTGCTGGGTCTGTGCCAGGGCTGCAGTGCCACTTCCAGCTCTAGATTGCAAATGCCATCCCTGCACTCAGTGTTTTCATCACTGCACAGGCCCTGTGAAAATGCTTCAAAGCAACAGCTCTTGAGGGCTGTCGAGCACCTCCAAACTCATGGCACACAGTGCACACAGTGGCTGTAAGAGGCTTTTTTTGTTTGTTTTTCCCTTCAAACTGCTTTGCAGACATTTTTCTCTGGGCCTCATTTTTCTCTACCCTTCTTGGGCATAAGAAGAGCTTTGGGTGAAGAGGTGCAGGTGAGTCAGAGCCAACTCCTTCCCCTCACTCAGCTGCAGGAGACTCCATATGGGAACAGCTCTGCTGGGCTGGGCTGTCTTAATGTGTTTGAAGTGCAAGTAATTTATTAGACATCTCTAAGATAGGAGGTAAATATATATTCATCTTATAGATTGTAGAAATAAGACACAGATCTGATTCCACAAGTAGCTAAAATTCAGGTTATACATTATTTTGCATCAAATTTAGATCAATTCTTCTTTGAATTAGAAATCACCCAGAACAATATTGTACCTAAAACCTTGAAAAATAATTTGATTTATTTGTTATATTTACACATTTGTTGTTAAGCTAAAATTTGAACTTTTTTGGAATGTTCTTTTGTCATCAGCTCCAGTTTTAGCCCTTCACATCTTTTTGCTATTTAACAAGTATTTTAATAAAAGTAATTTCTTCCCTTAGCCCAGTCAGTATCAGTGTTAAAAGTTCAGCTGCTCAGGTGTCAGCTGCTAGGAAAGCATTCAGCTCAGTAACTCATCACTTCCTACTTATTTTAAATCTTTCTTAATCAAGTCTTGTAATAAATAAAGACTAATACCACCATGACAACACTGTTTTTTTCAAATTGTTCATTTGCCAGTTTTAACAAGATAAAGAAATGAATACTAAATGTAGACAATGTATTAAAAAAAAAAAAAAAAAAAAGAAACCAACCCCTGAAACAAACAGACAAAAAAGGAGGACACAAAGGAACACACATGGAATGATGAAAAGGAACAATGATATTGCACAACTTCAGGTCTCTCTTCCCAGATTTTGATCCATGTAATTAGGTATGTATGAATTCAGCAAAACGTTGTGTCCAAATAAATGTGTGGCCATTTGAGTGAATTTAGAATTGCAGTGTTTTCAGTTCCTTGTGACTGCTCCTTGGAGTTCTTCTCTAAGGGAGCAGGGTGCTGTTAGCTGCAGGAATAACAAACAAACATTGACTCTCCATTGTGCTGGCCAGTTACCCATAACCCACAGAATTACAGTTCTCCTCTACTGTAAATGCACTAAGTCCTCAAAGGACCTGGGTCTTTAAACACAACTTGTTGTATCAAGAACTCAAACTATAGCTGAAACACAATCAAAGAACATCCCCCAGTTTGCTGTGGTTAACTTGAGATTGTGTTTCATTTCATGAGACCAGGGCTTCTCACTGTGTTGGGGTGGCACTGAATGCATAGAAGTCACAGTAGGTACATTAAGGGAGTGGGGGAGAAGAAAAAATGAAAAAAGCTAATTGGAAAAAGGTCTTCACAGCTACAGTCTTTGCTGGAGCCTCTCTTAACAAGCACATACTGTTTGCTACAGAAATCAGGGAATTGTGTCATTCTGGCTATAACAGGACTGTTTGCCCCTCCACTGCTACCCTGACAGTCTGTGTTTATATAAACTTTGCATTTATGTGCAGAACAAAGTCTTTTTCTCCTCTCATTCCTGTTTGGTGGACTGATGTGTCAGCCAGCAGGGCTCAACAGATACATTTAATACAGGAGACTGAGATACAGTATGTTTATTCTTAACTTCTGATAACCTAAGAACTACAAGAACGAGAGATGCAGTATCCATTTGCTATGATCCAAGACAACCATTTTTTAGGGAGAAAAAAGCAGAATAAGTGATCAATGCTAACACTACATTAGTTCCAAATAGATATATTTTTTTCAGTTATGGCATCTTAACTATTTATTGTTCATTCGGCCCACTTTTAATCTGATCAAGTTAAAGGTCACATATTAAAGTTTAAGGACTGTTATTTCACCAAAACTGAAGGAAGTTATTAAAAAAACCCATGAAACCACAGTTTCACTGCAGGACTTGTGTCACATCTTCATAATCTGCATCACTTGTAGAAAAGGGATAATGCATCTCAGTTTGCTTACAAGCTAGGAGATCACTTTGAAGTCTGCATATTCCTAACTGCAAACAAAATATAGCACTTTTAACAGGTTATAAATAAACTGGTTTTCAAGCATAGAGCCAGCCCAACAATAACAATACACTATTAAAAAGACCTAAGGCAATGAATTCCATCTCCAATGGAAAAAAAAAAGAAAAAGAAAAAGAACTGTGCAAACAAGCTTAAAACTATTTCTTTGTGCCAGTGTTATAAAATGTAGATTTCAATAAAGCCTTGACCCAAATGCCAGGACTTGTGAAAAGAATCAGAACAAAACTGGTTATTTTATTTAGGAAAAAAATACTCTTATCTTGCTGCTAATAAAATTGGATACACGCAGTTTAAACATTTACAGTTGCTGTAACACTTTACACAATTCCTATATATGGGTGTAAGAACAAACATTAAAAGACAATGGTGGGTCAAGGCTTTACATTAAAAATAACATCCTACTTTTCTATAGTCTCTAAAATACTATGTTTTCCAATATTTGCAGCCATTCAGGAATATTTTTATTTATTTATTAGGAAATGTATACTTTGTGCATGATCTTAATTTCCTAATTCCTGGCTCTTTGGGCTGAATGACAAAAGGATCAAACCCATTGAAGTGGATGGTCTCCTTGAAGGTTCAGTAGAGAAACCCTGGCTCAGTTAGTCTCATATGATGAAAGCAGTGCTGCATCCACTGGCTCCATGCAGGATGGACAGGTAAAGGATCTCATCAACCAGTCATCTATACAGTCCAGGTGGTAAATGTGCATGCACGGCAGAAATCGGATAGGGTCCCCATAAACAAAGTCCATCATACAAATGACACATCTGGAGGGGGAAAAATAAAATATTTAAGCTACTGTTACCAACCTGGCAATTAAAAACAATGTAATATCTATTCCTGGATTTTTTAGTATTTGTAGATACTTGTGTAAGATAAAGAAAGATGTATGGAGTGGTTTGGGTTAAAGGGACCTTGGAGCCCACAGAATTCCAACCCCCTGCCCTCGGCAGAAATGCTGCTCACCACGCCAGCCTTCTGCAGGCCTTCACTTTTATCTTTTTTTTTTAAAGCTACAGTAAATTACAGTCCCTGAAAAGAAGGCAAACCCAGGCTGACAAGGTCAGGTTTCCCAGGGTAGCATCCCAAACCAAAAGGGGCACATCCCTTCAGTGCCAGCACTCACTCTCGGATCTTCTTCTCGGAGCCGTCTCTGCCGGGGTCGTAGACTCCTTTGGGAAGGTGCTGGATGAGGCCGATGCGCTGCGCGATCCGGATCTGCTCCTCCTCCGTCAGCTGCGTGGCCAGCCGAGTCTGGCTCGGCGTGGGGTGATACACAGGAACAGGCACCTGCTCCTGAAAAGCAAAATGGTTCCGTTCAAAACCACCTCAGAGGCTTTCCTAGCCTTCCACAGCACAGTACCATTCACAGCCCTACAAATATTGGTATGAACTCCCACTCCTGCTTTGCAATTTTAGGGCTATAATTATAATGAGAACAGGATAGAGAACTGAGGGCAGTATTTGAGCGAGGAGCTGTTCGTGGTTGTTCCCTGCAAAAGCTTTTGATCTCCAGGAATTGTTCATACAGGAGGCACATGGACAAGAAACTCCACAAGCCAGCAGGCAAATAAACCTTACAGGTGAAGTGCTGCAGTACAGAACTGAGCAATGTAAGGGCTTAGGGAGAGCCCCCAGTATCTGCAACTGAAAGTAGATCCCATCTAGATTTTTATCTTCTTTTTACATTTAGGAAGAATTATTTGAAAGAATGAAAGATGAGGATGCTGCTTACTCTCAAAATGTTTAGAGGAAGGTCTGCCATAACTAAAATTTATGTGAACTGTTTTGGGTCACACAAGCTTAAATCTAGAACTGTAGATTTAATTTTCATTCATTAAAAGAATGTTACCTGGAAAGTACAAACAACAGCTTAAGTAAGTAACTCAAGTTTTATGTTTCTTTTCATACATTAATATGACTTTACAAGTTCTCCCAAGTTGGATTCAACTATGGATATGTCTGAGATATCTATTTCCAGAAAAAATATAGGCAACATATAGTCCTTCCTCGACCACAATCTGAGAAGCTTCTTTTGAATATTAATGAACTTCAGATATTTTCACTAACATTTATATTAACATGGTGTTTAATTTACTTGCTTTTAAAGCATTTTTTGGTACATAAATACCAATTTTGTACAGGATACACTATTAGGACAGTATTGGCCAGCAGCCATAAATTAACAGAGAGGCATTTTCTTGCAAGAGACCCATTTTAATAGTTCTTCTGAAACAGCAGAAAAAAATTCAACTTATAGATGTGTCTGAAAATAAACCTGCTGCATCAGATACACAATGCACCGAATCATCTGTTTGGCAAATGCCAAATTTGCTGTTTCAGAGGACACTGGTGCAAGCTGAGCCCAGGGCAGGTGTGTGCAGCTGAGGCAGCACAGGTCACCTCTCACATGTAACACTGCATCTGTCAAACTCCACAAAGTCCTTCTCCTTTCAGTGCCAGGAATCCCAGCAAGTGGACAGGCAGCCAGGACTCCTGGAAGGCTGGGAGAAAGCTGTCCCAGGAGTGAGCAGCCTCTCGCTGGTGCCACCCAGCAGCAGAAGCCCTTGCTCGTGAGAAATGCTAATTACAAATACAAGTCTGCCTGGCAGTTCTTCACTGCACACAGTGCCTGCCACTGGCAATTCAGCTGTGGGGTAAAATTCAAAGTCATCTCCTAATTTAGCTACCCTAGGATTTCCCCCTCTGATTTCCTGGCAGAACCCAGAGGAATTATGAGAAGGTTCAAAAGACAGAACGCCAGGAGTTCTCAAAGTGATTAATTTCCTGACTACTCTGAACTATATTTCACAGAATCACAGAATTCTTTTGCATCAGCTGCCTTTTAGTGTTTTAAATTATCTAAAGTATTCTCCAATCATCATTTGGACAGAGAAAAGCACCAGCTGAACCTAGAGCTAGTCTGTCAGATATAACAGTATTCAGAAAGTGACTGCAACCTTTGGTGCCAGCTAAATAAAGCATTTTCCCCTGACAAATGCTGCAGACGCTCTGCACTGAACACTTCAGTTCGAAGCAGAGCCTGCTCCTGGTTTTATGTTTCACGACCTTAACACCACAAACTATCAGTAACTTTTTCTTCCCAGGGCTTTGCTGTACTTCTTTGAACAGATTATTAAAGCAATAGCAGGACATCACTGCTACCTCCTTCACTTGTTACACAGACATAGAGAACACTCAGCATTGGAGAGGGCTGTACCCTCCTTCACATCTAGGAAAACAGAGGAGCAGTACAACGAACCACAGGCACAGCACAGGCTGGTGCCAGCGTGGGCAGGAGGAGGGGAGGGAACTGTGCTTAATGCAGCTCCCCTGGACTAAGCCATGGCTGCAAGTGATAATGCAGAAATTCAATGAAAGGCAAAAACAGGAGGACAAAGATCCCAGAAATCCTCAAAATGTCTGAAAGTAACAAAGAAAACTGAGGGTGAATATCTGTAGCAAACCGATGATCTCAGCGAAAATGATACAAACAAAAGGAAACTACAGTTCAGTAAGAATCTGCTGTGAGTTAGAGCAGTCACATCTGGACTACTCTGAAGTGAGCAACAGCCACACACTGACCAATCAACAACTGTCCTGGTTAAGTTTTGGACAGGAAATCAACACAACTTTTAAACCTGTGATGAGCCGGACAAGAACAAAACCTCATTCTCTTGTTCTAGTCTTTTACAGGCACTTGTGAGTGACCACTGAGAGACCCTGCAGCAGGGGAAGCCACTTGTGCATTATTGCCCCTCTCCCCTTGGTGTCACCTTCCCTGCAGAGGGGCTGGAGGCACCCCAGTCCCCTTGGCATCCCAAACACACAAATGCTTTCCCACTACCAGCGCTGGATGGAAACTCCTCCCTTTGGCATCCTGTCTCAGGTTCCCCCCCGGCACAGCCACCCCCGACGTGTCTGACACAGCCCATTAAGGCAGGAATTTATAGTCGCCAGCTGGGGGCTTCTACAATTTCACATTCTAGACAAGAAGTTCTTGTCAGAGGAGTAACTGGGTGAAAATGGTGGTGTCTTTCACCACGATGTCCTCACACTGGTGAATGCAGAGAGCCGGGGCTGGTGTGGCTGCTGTGAAAAATGCAGAACAAATTACTGTAAATAAACCACAGAGAACATTCGATACCCAGGCACTGAACACGCTGCCTGCCTGGTGGCACTTTGATCTCCCCTCCCAACTGCTATTAAAAGCCTGCCCAAACTGAGCCCTGCACATAAATGCACCAGGGAAAGAACACAGCCACACACGGGCAGTGTCACATTCTAGGGCACATCGACACTGACCCTTTCAAACCGGCCCTCTCCCCTCAAACAGGTAAAAAGAAAAGGTGTGTTCATACCTGTAGGATTCTAAAACTATTTGCAACTATTTATTAACAAAAGTCTGAGAGCCTGGGTTTCTCTGACTGCAAAGTGCCATCCCCGGCTCCCCCAGCAGACCCTGAGTGGGGTTGGGCTCCTGTCCCCTGGCAGCCCCTTGGGCACACACCCAGCTGGCCCCACTCGCAGCCACGTGGCAACTGCAACCCTGGATTTCTCCACTACCCAATCTCTGCAGCGATTTTGGGAGTTAAAACATCCAACAATAATTCCAAGCTGCCAGTCCCGTATGGGTTTATCGCCCCTTTGCAAATCCTTCACAGTTTATAAAGGGCTGCTTTCACTGACCAAGGTCCTGCTCCTCCAGGGTGGGTGCTCAAGGGGAACGACTCCAGACTTCACTCAACTCACATTTGTAGCCAAGGGCCCCCTGACACGTGTGTATATAAAAAAGATTGTATTACTCAAGTAATTATTATTTTACTTGAAGGCGAGCATGAATTTATTGCTCTGGTGTCTCACATTTCTCTTATTGACCGTGGAAAATGTTTTTGCAGACAAAATTACAAAATACTCAACTTCTAGCCAAAGTCTGTGTTATTTATCATTTGATAAAGATGTAAGGCACTTCAAACTAAGATGAAATTTCATACTAACTCTATTACTACGTGCAAAAACCTCTAAAAAAGGCCAAAACAAATAATCAAATCCACATATTACTGTTAGGCAGTGAAATAAGAATCACTTTCTGGCACTTAATTGGCTTTAGTCAATTATTTTTTTCCCCGTAAGAATTTAGTAATGATGAAACACCTCAGATGTCCATAATCCCGGAGATACACAACTTTCTCTTTGTTCACAAAGTCACTGGTATCAGCACAAGTTCCCCTGGCTTTCTGTGCACAGAAATCATTCATTCCCACTGTTTATTCAGCCCTTAAAAACAGTAGCATTAATTCAGACTCAAGGATTACAGCAGTGTTTGTGTCTCCATCTCACCCCAGCTCCTCCTCCTTTGGGGGAAAAAAATTATAGAGGGCATCTGGAGGTCTGCATTTCTCACTCCTAATGAAAATAAACATTTTCACACATGGCCTAAAAGGCCCAGAAACTTTCTACACACAGATTTCCAAGCACACTTTGGACTCTTGATTAGAAAACGGAAGTTTCACCAAGCATGGTTTTTAGTTTGAAGTTTCCTCATCAATGCAACTTACTTTAGTTATGCTGCTGTAAATCTGCTTTTCTCTTGTTTTACAGCCTTTTTGTCTTGTTTTCGCAAGTACCATGAATTTGTAATACTCTGAAAACAGGTCAGTGGTAGATCAGAAACTCTTAATCCCTGGATAAAGATTATTTTAAGATCCCTCTATGCCACATATCAGCAGTATGTTATCAGAGCTTTTGTTTGTTTGTTGTTTTTATAATTGCACCAACATGCCCAAATTATCATTTCAGAATGGTCAAAGGTGAGATGAATAATTCCTAACATCGAATAGTTCCAAAGGTTAAAACCTCAGTGCTGTCCCTGAGATCCTCTCTACAGCCACCTGCTTTCCTCTACTGATTGCTTTGCCCTGTTTCCATCTCTAAATTTTCTTCCCCACCTAATCCAGAGCTCTGTGTGTCTCACCCTGGGATATTAATTTGCATTTTATCACCAGATCCACAGTGTATCTGTTAATTCAGTCTGACAGAGGAGACAAACACATCCCTAACTATGTTTATCCTACATCTTTTTCACACTTTTTAAACATCAGTAGCTATAGCGCTTACGCTCCTTGCGGTCGCTGCCTAATTAATTAATGCAAATATAACAGTTCCATTTGCATTTCCCCAGCTGTTCCCAGAGCTCTGTTCTGAAAGCCCTTCAACTTGTAAATGTCCTGCCTGGAACAAGATGTCTGAAGGCAACTGCCCTGGTTCACACACACCAGCCCCCACCACACTGCAGCCCCATTGCAGCACTCATCACCCCTACACACAGCTCAGCCTGGCTGCTCCCCAGCTTTCTCACCTCTAAGGAGAGCAGGGAGCCCAAATAACTCACCTAAATATGAACAACCTCCTTTTATAAATGGAAAGTCAGGAGGTGAGAAAAAAAAATTGTGCTTTTCGAGGTCTGTTTCAAAAATTCCTGCTGAATTCGATAAAATTTTCTCTTCTCACCACTTTATTATTCACAAGGAACTTGGTGGGATGATGGTCCAGGGACCTTTTCTGTGAATGTCATTCTGATCAGGGTGAAAAAACTCAAACTCCATCCATATGTGAATACACATTCTGAAATAATACCCTCCCTCAAGACACATTAATGTAAAACCACGCGCCATTATAATGTGCATTATACGACAACTACAGCTTACTTTAATAATCTTTAGAATATTATGAGCAGCCTGCCAACTATAAAAGCCTTTTTCTGCCATACAGAAGAGAGCAGTTAATTTATAAAGGTGAATAGCAGTTGCTATAAAACATCACGTAATGAAATTGCTACCCAATTTTTTTATATTTCTGCATCCAAGTAGCCACTCAGTATGAGTAACTGCAACAGCTGAGCACTTAACGCTGAAAAGTTCTTCTGAAAGCAAAATCCCCTCCTCTCCCCTCTCCCTTTGGGAGGGGACATCTGGCACAGACAGATCAGACACATGTGCACACACACTTGCCACCATGGTGCTTCTATGGGAAGATTACTAAGAATTCTGGTACTGTAGGAATTGGGCACTGCAAATATGGTTGGTATTAATGTAACAACAGACTGAGGCACCAGTTTGCACACCAGAGAGGAACCTGCAGGATCTGTGCTGTGTTTCTCCAGCTGTTGACTCCAGTTAAGAAGCAACACTCGTTTTGAGCCATGGATCACACTTCAGAGAGAGGTGTTTTTGGTGAAAGCCACGGTGGCTCTGCAGAGATGGCACAGCCTCATTCACACTATATATAAGCAAAACTGTAAAACTGTCTTGTGCATTCTTCACAATTATTCCACTGAAATTACTGGGAAATAAATGTATCTGAAGAGTTGGAAAAGAGTAGCAACCATGAAAGAAAGTGACTCCTGACTGCTGACTCTTAAAATATCACCTGTCCCCTGAGCTCAGCTTTGCTACCAAAAATAGGGCTGCGACAGAGAGAGGAGGTACAAAGTAGATATATCCTGCCTGCTGCTTTCCTAGACAGTGACAAGGGCTGTGAGAAAAGGACTTTCAAGTTTCATCCCTGTGCTGTCACACAAACCCAAAAAGGCTATCAACCTACTGCCAAGACAAACAGTTGGCAGTGCCCAGGCAGCTTGGCCAGAGCAAAGCCAGCCTTACCTGGCAGATGGAAATCACCTCCAGCTCTGCTGTCACCTGCTCTGAAATTTGATTAACCATCAAGGAAAACCGAAATACAAAAGACTAACAAGAAAGAGTTGTAGGGAAAAAGCAGTAATTAAAAAGCAGTAATTACTCCCTGGAAGCACAATCTCCTGACATAGCCAGTTTTTACACTTCCAGGCTGCACAGCAGGTTTCTCTAACTCAAGGGCGTCAACCTCAGGTACTGAAGGTTCCACTTGCTGATTTCTTGTTCACTAGCTTTGTGTCAGTTTTAGGTGTCCTTTTTCCTTACTCCAGAGATCCCATCAAACAACAGAGTGTGAATTTTTTCAGGAAAGTCAGTAACTTATACACCAACATGTCCCAGACCAGTAAATTGCTCACCAGAGAATTGATTCCATCCCTCCAGACAGCCTCACTGACAGCTCAACTTACAGCATTGGGCCACAACTTCTGAGAGATAACAAAGCCCTCTTGTTACAGCTCCCAGCATGTTTATTTTAATAGGCTTTTTTATTTATATTGAGAAGGAAAAGATTCATAAACAATTTATAAAAATTCATACTTTTCTGTCAGGCTGCTGCAGTGAGAAAAGCCAGGAAGGAACAGTTGCACCTAAACATTAAATTAAGGACACTCAGGCACAAAATGCAGCCTCCTGAGACTGGTATACCCCAGGGACTACAGAGCAAAGCAGCTGGGTAGGGAGAAAATCTAGCAGAAGGGGCCAGCAATCAATTCTGCAGCTGGTGGTGGAAGAACAGCACGTGAATATGGATCATCCTACCCCATAAGCAACCCCACATCTGTGTTATTGTTACATATTCTTTCCCACTTATGCCTAGTGGTTCTTTGCAGAAACTTCTCCTCAGGCCTGACAAGGGCAGACGTTTTCACAGTGCTATGGCTGCATTAAACACAGCACTTACGGTTCAAGTGAGATGGATGCTGGAAAACTGAGAAGTAGATTTAACAGCAAATAAAAACCTGAGGTTTTGAGGGAAACAAAACAGTTCTGAGGTGGAAAAGGCTGAAAACAAATATCTCAGACTGTCTCCTCTGCTGAAAGGTAAAGCAAACGTACTCTGTGCCACCCACTTACTGCTGTGGAACTGTGGGGAAGCAGGAAGAAAAAATTAAAAACAACACCCTAAACAAAGGAATGGAGTTAATGTGTTCTTTGGAGGCTGTGCTCAAGCACAAGAGACAGGGGAAGCTATGATGGGAAAGGTGACAGAACACACAGTCCACACAGACATAGGGGAATTGTTCACACTTCCTTTAGACATGTTTGCTTTCTGCAAAGGGTAAATATCAGTCAGTGCAACTTGTTTACAGTATAAATCGAAGGGGTAACAGCTAAAAAATGGTAGTATTGATCATGCTGGGGAACACACAGAGTCTGCAGGCAGCCATGACTCTCGCTGAGCCAGGCCCTGTGTGCAGCAGCAAACAGGCTTTGCTCACACCCTGCCCTGCTCCCTGATGTGGGACATGTGGGATCTGTCCTGGACACCGTCCCTGTGCACACCCCAAAGCACCCCGAGGCTCTGACTCACCTCTGGGTGCAAAGAGCTCACACGTGCTTTGGCCACCCGAGACATGGGCTTGGCCCAAAGCTCCCATCCCAAAGCATTGCATCACTCCGACAAGTGCATGCAAGTCCTCTTGCTGGCTATGGATCACTGGACAGGCATTCCCAGGGAAGAGTGCAGGGATATAAGACTTCAGGTGGGCAATGTAAGGCACTGAGAGTGAACAGCAGTGCACACTGTGCCCTGAACTGCGACTGAACCACAGACTCAGTGAGCTGAGTAAGCACACACAGCCTCTGCTCATGGTGCCATTTCAGGGAATTTGGGGGTTAGGGCACAGCTGACTCCAGCTGGTCTAAAACAGCACTGCCTCAGGACTGTGGGTCCTGCCACGTCCCTTGCAGTGGCTCCAAGGACAGTGCTCCGACTGACTCTTCCCCTCATGGAAAGCAAACAAGCCATGGCCACTGACAGTGTGATCTCTGCAGCTGCTGGGAAAAGTTTGGAACAGGCACACAAGAGGAAAATGGGAGGAGTGCCCCTGTTGGGACTCAAGCCAATTGTGAAAACCTGACTCCAAACACTTAAAAAATAGCGAGAGTGCTAAAATGTATCTTCTGGCAAAAATTAGGTCAGCTCGATGGCAATTCTAAGAACAAAACAGCCCTTCTGAGGACTTCAGGAACAAGGTAGCAAAGTTATGGAAATCAGCTCCAATTAGCCAAGAGAACAGACTAGGGACACGGGGCCAAGCCAAGGAGTAAACATGAAAATGCACATAAGCTGAAGGCACGAGCAGTCAATCCATCAGGGGAGGGCTGCCGAGGCATAAATACAGGCTGTACTTCAGTGTGTGAACAGACATGTATATGTGTGTATTTAAGGGTGCTAGTGTGAACTAATGAGAGCACCATAACACATAGCAGAGAAATATTATGCAGGACTAGTAAAGGATTTTAGAAAAAGAGTGAGTAGGATATCAAGGGATTGGAGAAATCAAGTGACAAATGATCTCATCTCTAGGCTGAGCATTACTGTTAACAGCCTTGCCTAAAGCTCCTTTCCACAGACATCCAAAAGCATCCTCTGGAGGAGCACGGGTCCTCCTACATCAGGTTCCTAAAACAGGACTTAAATTGACACAACAGTCCCAGCTACACTGAGAACATCACACTTATGTAAGGTCTCTGTGATGTGTAAATTCAGCTTCAGGTAAGAGGTAACACAGGTAATGAAAACAAAGAGGCACAGCAGCAGCTCCCTCACATCATCTTTCCCTCATTCCCACACTATCCCAGGCCATTACACAAATTGCCTTTTTGTAGCCACCCGGTTGTAAGCAACCACCAAAAAAGCATCTGAAAGAGGACACAGTTGTTCTTTTTATAGAGATAGAGTCTGTTACCTCACCAAAGCACACAGAGGAGGACACATAGGAGAAGGCTTCTGCAAACCTTGACAGGGACCTTCCCCTTATCGGGGCCCAGCTGATGAGCCCAAGCTGTGCCACAGCCCGGGAACAAGGGCCAGCAATGAGCTCTCCAGCAAGGGAAGCCAAGCAGAAACCCAATGCACGTTTTCCTATCAGGACTGGCAGCAAACAGACACTCACACACTGCAAGACTCTCACACACTGCAAACCTCTGCCACACCTGATGAAGAATTTTCCATCAGGCCTCACAGCAAACAGGGACTCAGGAGAGCATAAGGAAAAGAGAGCAAACAGATTGCTCTACTAAGGATAAATAACTTGGGGGAGAAAAGGGGAAGCAGTCCACATGCTATTGCAGAAGAGCTTCAAAAAGCAGATGGGGCTGGTGATGAGCTGGGTCTGTGTAACCACAGAGCAGGAAAACCTGCAGCAGACACTGCTGGTGTGGGGCACCTGCTATGTCACTGAGGCAGCCCGTGACAGCAGGGGGGTCTGTTCCAATACCCAGGAATCTGTGCTATACTTCACTGCATCATAACCTTTTACTCAACTTGAAATACTTTAATTGCCTTTTCAACAAAGCCATCCTCAATTATGAATGCTTGCTCAAGCAGAAAGCTGCCACACCTTGGCAGTTGGATGGTACCTTCAGCTTCACAGGCCTTTTTATTTTCTTACTGGCACCTGAATTTCTAATGAACAGTGGATACCCCTGAGATCAAGGTGTGTGAGAAGCCTCAGTGCAGCAGGGGACTCTGCACAGGCACCCAGAAGGCTTCCTGAGGCCAGTTAAAGGATATATCAACACTGCATTTTGCCACAGCGTAGCACAGCTTTTTTTTTTTTTTTTTAAAGCATGTTTCTGCATCAGCCTGCTGGAAAGCCACAGACAGATGAAGGCTCACACACACCTGCCATACACTGGGGCACCACAAACACAGTCTGAGTCCCTGTGTGCCGCTGTTCCAGTGTCACTGGCCAGGGGGCTTGGACAGGGACAGCTCCTCTCTCCACCAGATCCTGGGAAACTGAGTGTGGTTTTCTGAGATTTCAGCCACATCTTGAGGCTGGAACTGAGGTTTGAACTGGGGGTGCCAGCAGCACCCTGAACTGCTGGGCTGTGCACAAGAGGCACAGCTCAGGGCACTCCATGGTGTGGATGCTGACACTTGCCCCAGGCACCCACTTGCCATCTCCTGCTTCAGGGAGAATGAGCACACACAAAAAATGTGATCTGACTATTTGTTTAGCATCATTTGATAATAACATTAATTATTTCGTCTCTGAGTTAATAAGCAGCAGCTGTAAATAGCCAGAGGCACCCAGTCAGCCTATCAGCCCATCTCATCCAGTCGTTTATTAATCTTAAAGGAACATACCAGGCATTAAATGATTATTTCTAAATCTCTTGGTTTGTTGGGACTTTTTTAAAAGCAGTTCTCTATTTATAAGCAAGTAATGAGTGCATGAATATCAAGGCACACTAAAGCTTGATGGAGCTCCACTTCTCGATGCAGTATTAGCAGTGAACACAAGGGCAATGTTTCTATTTTTTCCAGCTAAGTCTTGTCCTCGCAAGCAATGACTCTGCGTTTTCAGCACGCAGGGCACAAATCCAAGTGTGATCTCATGCAACTGTCAAACCTCTTCTAACAGAAAAAAGCCTGTGCCAAGAACAGGTAGAGAAATCATAAATAGCTCTCTTGGGAGTTGGTTATACAAGTGAAATATTTCCAGAACACGTTTTTCCTACTATTTTAAAGTTTTAAATGCACAGAGACAGTTCAATGGGTGCCTGATCATCTCTTTAATGTGTCACCAGACAACACAGATTTGTTTCACTGCTATGTATGAAACAGCCAGTCGCTGGTGCAAGCAGGACAAATTGTAAACGTTCAGCTTCACAGATAAATAAGGTACAACCTCCACCACTAACTGCACGAGCAAACACCTGGCTAATCAGCCTTTTCAATCTATGGTGTAGTGGGGTTTTTATACTCATCTTTGGATCTTGCCTGTGCTGGTTTCACACCAAAAATACCCACGTCTGTTTCAGCACAGGTGCTTTCAGAGTAGGTGGTTTGAAGGGGGAACTGAAGCAGGTCCAAGGTTCTGCAAGGGTGAGAGGGGGAGCACAGAGCCCAACCCAACCTCTGCAGCTCCCATTTCATCTTGTTCAGCTCCAATGGGATGAAGAAAAACCTCTATTTTGTCAGACCATTCCCCTGCTTACACCCACTCTCATGGAAGACAGGGCTTTGTTTACATGCAACTGCCTTTCTGAAGGAAAACTTGAAGTTTCCACAATGGATTCATCCTGCTGTCTGCATGGGTCAGTAAAATCTACCAATGTCCCCACTACAGCCCCAGGAGCACACTCAGTAAGGATTTCAAATACTACCAGGGACATGGCACTTGAGCACCTACTTAAGTACTTGCCTGAATTATGGCTCAGGCTGCCACAAAATCTCAGAAGAACAGAAAACTGTTTGAGAGGAGGGACATGAAAACAGAGAGGTCATTTTTCTGAATATGGACTGACTGGTGGGAAGACAAAGCCCCATTTCACCAGGACACACCCGCATGAAGGCAGCTGCCTTCAGCTGCCTGGAGATTTCCAGGCTCAGCTCATCCATACACAAAAACTCATCTTTCAGGTTGTGTGAGGAACCAGAAACCCTGAACACTAAAACCCAGTGATACAGAGGAGGCAGTTTTACAGCTGGAGTTGAGAAAGTCTCATGGAAATATAAAATTTTTCTGTGCAAATTTAAAAGCTCTAGTTTACCAAGAACATTTACACACACAAAGATACAGCTCAGGTCCTGCACTGAAGTGTAACTCCACCACTCTGGGTGAGGTTCATGCTACTTTTGTTGTCCCCAAGTAAGAAATGAGAACCCAATGTCATTAACATTATGCTACCAACACTCTCAGGCTTTATGAAAATATAAAGAAACACTCGTACTCACTGTATTCTCCTGCATTAATGTTTAGGGTGGAATAACCATGTCCTGCTGCAACCTACACACTCACTAAAATAAGTTTTGTCAGTTTATACTCACACAGACAAACTGCAGTCACGACAAAACACCAGAATGGAGTAACACTGAGCTTTTTTGGAGGTTAAAAAAATATAGAGTCCCAGCAAAACAGCTCTCAAGAAAACCTGCGAGTTCTTTACGTTTAATTTACGACATTCAGTCTAGACATCTTGTCTTGTTACCTTGGGAGTCATTAGGGTGTAACTACAGAGGTAACTGTAATACCTAGATAAGCTTCAAGAGAAAAAGCAGCTTGTTGCTCAGACTACAACTTCAGAAGCAGAAACATCATGACTCAATGACTATAAAACATTTTAGTTTATCTTTTCAGACTTTCTAGCTCACCCTTTGATCCCCGAATGGAGACCTCTCCAAGAGGCAGTGGGTGCAGCAGAGTGACTTGGGAAGCAGATGGCGTTTAGTGCCACTCCTGCAAGTGTACAGGACTAAACTCACTTTGTCTCCTTTGGTCGGCTGCACTTCAGTGAAGTCAGGGAATGTGCTTCCCTGGGAACACCGAAAGATTTGCTGAACCAAATTCCTGTCTTTAAATGGGAATAAATTCATCCTTTCTTATGGATAAATCTCCAGCACAGTAAAGACACAAGTAGAAATTACTGCAGCAAATAATTTTTTGCTCTTTCACTTGTTGTTTTGAATCACACAGCAGTTACAGAAATAAACGGATCCTTCTGGGAGATGGGAAGCTCTGTGCTCTTCCTTGGGGGCAGAAAATGATTGGGCACGGCCTTCTCTGTGAACTTTGGCAAAAAGGAGTCCAGTGTTCATCAAATGAAGTCTGCTGAACACCATAAGCAAGTACCCTGCAGAGTAATTTCAGACTAGAAATCAGGTCAAAGAAAATATCTTTGCTATGCTGAAGCTTTATGAAATTAGCCTTGAAATAACTTACAGGCCTGGTTCTAATTTTTCTGTATCATTCCATATAGTGCTGCACTCCTGGTGAGGTCTTCATTCATGTTGTGGAATGGTTTACCCCAGTGAGGGAGGACAACATCCAGCAGCACATGAAAAAGTGTTTACCCCTTGGAGCTGCACGTTCTGCAAATTTGGAGTTAAGTATTGTCTCTGACTACTGTTATGAGTTCCCAAGACAAATTCACTGCAAGATGCTGAGCAGTCAGTCCATGCTCCCTCCATCACTCAACACATGCCCTATTTTAGTATTTTCTTTTTTTCACTGTTGCTTTGTTTGGTTTCACTGACTATAGATGAGACATTTTGTTTTTCAGGAAAACCAAGTTGTTTGAATATCATATCTGCTAATAAACAAAATAAAAATAGAAGCGTTAGCCCAGAAAAACAAAGGCAGAAAGGGATATAGGATCTCTAAATAAATCAGGAGTGTAAACATCAGAGAAACAACTAAAGACCTATCTGGTAGAAGAATAACAGGTGCAAGTTTGCAATAAACAACAATCTAGAATTGTGAAATAAGCTTCTTCAGCCTTAGTTCTTGGTTGATCAAAAGAGGTTCCCTATAGGGGTAACAGGGCAAAGCTTGACCAGTGTCTTGCAAAATCATCCACGGTCTGCAGAAAATAACTTTGCTGAGTATATGCAAAATTATCCATATATCCCCTTGTCCAGACACCAGAACACAGTCCAATTCACACACTTGTTAGTATGCAATTTTCAAGACTGTACTGAAAACAGTTGTTATCCAAATTAATATAATTTCTGATGCAGTGTAAAAACTAGCAATAATGCTTGTCATGTTTAACTCAAAGCTAATTTAAATAAAATACAAAAGATAACGCTCATTAAATCCAAGCTTCATTTTGTTGAAGCCAAGTCAGCAAACATTGTCATGCCCACTTGGAAGTTAAGACAGTAACATAAAAAAAGCTTTAAATGTGAGAAAATAAATTTTTGGGCAAAATCATTTTCCATGAGGAATTCTGGTTTGATCTCAGGGAGGGTTTTGATAGCCCACTGGTGGAAGATACCTACAGTGGAGCACAAATATTCTTGGCCAAACTCTTTCTCCTGCAGCACAATCTACAGGCAGAAGCAGGAATGAAGGCAGGGCTGAACAAAAGACCTTTATAAAGTTTTTTCTGCTGAACATATGCTAGCTGGAAGTTCCACTTGTGTTGCTTGAGTAGCACCAGGCAGCTGCACCACTAGCAAGGATTTGGCCCATGGCAAGCAAAATTGTAAGGTCATCAGTGAACAAGTGTACATGGCATTACTGCAGTCTGTGTCAATCTACAGGCATTTTATTGCTGGCAACTACTCTGCAATTAGGATTTAAAATAGCATTTGTCTTACTTTAGTTTGCTGTATTACTTAAGTCTTTTTAAGGCAGAAAGGGCACTAGCTACTGCTCCAATTTAAATGGTTATATTCTGTCCAACTGAAATGCTAACCGTATTCAAACTGAAACCTGACCAGCATATTCTGTGAAATAATCCAAGGAACCTTAGTGGTGTCATTCACAAACTGATTTCTACAGCTTTCAGTGCCCCATAGTCCTGGCAATGTGGAATATGACCGACAAGAAAGGCTGTCCTCTCTGCCCCAGCAGCCCCATCTTCTGTGGCTTTGAGGGGTTTTTTTTTGTAGGTCTCCAAGCCAGAAACTAAGCCTGACCCAATATAGTTAATGAGATGCAAAAAAGCTGTAAAGATGGTATTTACTGCTCGTGTTCAGTGTTCCTGGTTCTAAATTCAGAAAGCTGAACAGAAAGGTTCTGAGCAAGGGGGATAGGAGCTATGTAGGAGCACAGCATTACTCCACCAAGGAGAAGAAATGGTAATGCTGCATGAGTGGATGCATGAAGAAGCAGCAAGATTTGCTTCTCAAATTTAATTTCTGAAACAGGGTTTTGTTCCTTCATTTGCCTTAAGACTGGTTTCAAGAAGAAGCCAGTGGCCTCCTCTGAGAGAAGCCAAACTAGAATAAGGAGAGACAACATATAAAGCAGGACAGTCAGATTGAGGCAGCCGGACTAGCTCCTGCTTTTGCACACTTATATATTTTCTTAAATCCAAACATTTTAGACAACAGGGAGGTTGTTTTATTAAAAGTCACAGACACTGGCAGTCCTCACATACATATGCACAAAGGTAATCAAACTCCTAACAGCAGTGACAAAGCTTGCCAAGCAACATTCAGACTTTGGAAAGCATCCACGGAGTCATAACTGCAAGGCTTGTGTGAGGGAAGAGGCAGAGCAGCACCCACGATGCAGATCAATGATGTTACTGTGGTCAGTTGTGTCCCAAGGGACATCACAGTCTGCTGCACAATGTGAACAGGCTGTCAAAGTCTTCAGACACTCCTGCACTTACCAAGTCTATGCATGAACTGTTAGGTAACATTAATGAAGCTCCTTTAACAAGAGAAATAGCAAAGAAAAGCACTCGAGAATCTTTAAAGGTGGTTGTGGTAGACAACCTTAGATTCTTTCACTTTTTTTTTCTGGTTTTGGGGTTTTTTTTAAAACCTGAAAGATCACAGTAAAGAAATAAAGAATTAAGGCTTTGTCCACATCAGACATTTGTCCTGAAGCAGCAAAATCCCTTCAACTGAAATCAACACCCTCCTAAAGTTAAAAATGGCAACTTTAGACTGCATTTCATGCACAGACCATTCCTAAATGCACTCACTGTCCAAACCTCACACACTGATCCTGTGCATGCTCTGGTACACAGTTAAGTCCAAGTATAGCCTTAATTTCAACACAGAAAAGCCCAAACTTCTCTAATACTTGGTAGTAATAGCACACATCTAACACCCAACATCTCTAGATCTTTCCACAGATGTCACTAAGTAAAATGCAATCTACAGGTGGCAAAGAGTGCTGATAAATCAAATCTCCACCAGGAAGTCAGTTCATTTCACTAATCTGACCAGAGGAAGAATAAGACAACCCATTTCAGACACTTGAATGGTATGAGCTGACCCACCAAGCACCAGAGCCACCATAGAGTGAATGAAGAGAACATGGCTTCATGTGGAAAACAGGAGGGAAAAATGAAACAATCCCTTTTTGACAGCAGTGGAGGTTAGATCACACCTCCTTGTCCCAGAAACATCTACACAAACAACACTGAGCACAAGGCACACCACATTTTTGCCTGGTTTCAGCCAGTGGTCTGCTGAACACAGAGACAGCTCTGAGCCTCTCCTTGGGCCTTGGCTATGATCATTCCTGAGCTGGGCCTGTTAAAGTTGTTATTTTTAAGTGCTGGATCAGGATCCTGCCATGAAGTTAAATGAACACAGATGCTGCTTTCTCCACATGCAGAGGTGCACACAGCCCACCACAGGAGCACTGATGGGTTCCACCAGCCCTGGTGTGGTGAAGGTCCCGGGAGAGGAGTTTGTGGTGTCCTTAGGCAGTGGCACTTTCTGCAGGGACTTGGAAAGTACCCTTCTGTCCCCAGAAAGGCTGCAGAAGTGCAAACCGCTCAAGTTGCTGATGCACTCAGACAAACTCTCCTGTATCTAAAAAAAAGCCTTATGCTGACAAAAGGATGGGCAGATTTCCCTCAGCCTACAGTACACTTCACTGTTTGACTCATCACCCTGAGGTGGAAACACTTGCCTGATCCCTCAACACCAACAGCCTGTTTGGTAGTATCTGTTATGTAGTTGTTACTACCATTTTCCCAGTTTTTGCTCTCCAATAAAAACACCACTGTGCCAGGAGGGCTGCTTGGAGGAGTCTCCATCTGTGTGATCTGACCAGAGCAAAGAACACGCTGACCCTAGGATATCACGTTCTGAGTCCTGTGCAGAAACTCCTGTTGGCACAAAGGCAGGATCCAATTCACTCCTTTAACAGAGGCACTTGGTCATTTTTCAGCTGCAGCACATTGAGACATGAAATTCAGTGTTCCAGCTGGAAGTTGGGAAGTCTGGCCTTCACCTGGCTGTAATCCAGTTAGTGACATCTGCATAAGATAGACCCCCTAAAAAAGGAGAGATAAAACACTCTCCTACCTCAGCCTAAAATTTCAGCTCTCTTCTCTTTCAGTTCATCAGCTCAGAGTAAATGACAGCTACATAAAGACACTTCAGGAGACACTATATATAGGGTGAAGTGAACTTTTCCCCAGGAAGCTCTAGATCTAGGTCATCTTGCTTCTTCTGGGAGGCAGGAAAAACCAGGTTACTCATTGAACAAGAATACAGTTTCTAGAGGAAATAAAAGATTACTTGGAGCATGAAATTTTGTGTGGATAGTACTTTTTTATTTCCTAAAGGACTTTTAAAAGCAAAACTCACCATTAAACTCTGTCTCTTTGAATACCTGACTCCATCCACTTTAAACTGAGAAACCCACTATATTTACAGAAGGGATGAGAATTCTTTGGTAAACTTACTTTCAGCAGTTTAGCCACACAGTAAAGTAAACATAACTTCAGGTCTCAGAAGTTTCAGGGAGTTTATCTATATTCAGACATAATATAAAATCCCTCCCTGCACCTCATTTGCAATTCGAATGATTATACACAAGCCAGCACAACTCCAGGAGAGCTATCATACAAACCCACTCCAGTGGATTAAATACCACATTCCCACTTCCAATCGAGGGCAGTGGGAAAATAACCAAGCATCTCACTCAGGTTTGGGCCAAAGGCCACCATCTAACTCAGCCCAGCCACTGGGGTACCTGGCCAGCTCAGCCACTGCAGCAACATGAAGGTGCCATTAGCTGAAGAGGTGGGAGACCAGGGCAGGAAAAGTTTTCTCAGCTCAGGACAGACCTTAGTGCATCACTACCTATGCAGGGCTCCTCACCAGCTTCCAATCAGCAGATCCCTAAAAATGGTCAAGTAGAGGTGTGGGCCTGTAATTCAGTTTAGTGACTGCACAGGGGATTTCATTAGTTCTTGTGAGCACAACCAAAACAGCCCAGAGAGACTCGGAGAGCTGGGAACTGGGAGGTGAAAAAGCACTAACCAAGTAAAGAATTAACAGTTAATTTAAAGTTAAATATTTTTGCTTGAATTTTAAAACTGATTCTCTTCCCTTCCAAGAAGAGTAGTATACTTCCAAGGACACCATTCTCCACGGGACAATCCACAACTGCCTTAAGGTCTCCAAATACATAGATGCAACATTAAAGAACTCTGTGAAGCAGACGCTAAAGCAATGTCTTAGGCGCATTTCATAAGCGAAACTGAAGATATATGGATGCAACTGCACTACATCGTGATATTTAAACAGAAAACAACCAAGGGAAATTCCAAAACATCCGAAACTGACAATGGCAATTAAGCAAGTATTACTACAGCACCTAAAGTCTATCGATGCTAAAATATTAATTTTAGTGTCTTAACTCAATCTGAATTTAGAGCATTAGTTTGCTGAACCTTTTATGTATTTTCAACTGAATACAGCAATAAATTCACCGCTTTTTGTTAAGCAACAGTACAAACCAAACCAGTTGAGCAGTTTCGTACGTCAGCAGTCAAGCAGTGCTTGCACTCATTTGTTCAAAACCTGAGAGCAATCCCTTCTCTTTCTGAACTTTAAATAAAATTAATGTATTCAGGCAAAATAAATACTAGTCTTAATCTATACTGCAGAATTATACGATGTCTGAATTAAAGATTTTGACAACTCTGTTAATAAAACACTGTGATTAATGTTCAGTGCACAGAACAAGCTCTGTATCTGGCTTTAATTACAGTGATGAATAAAAGTCAGACACGGGCATCGTCCCAGAGCATTCATGCATTATACTGTCCCATAGATACTGAAATAATGGAATCTGATGCACTTTGATCTCTTAGATAAGCCTCCCACAGCTCTGAAACAGAAAGGGCAACAGCACCCAACCTCATCCAATTCTGCAACGTTCACACACTGAGTCGTAAGAGATTTGTATCCCCACTAGCGAGATACATCTTATGGGAATAAATACAGAGAAATATTGCTCCATTTCCTTCTGGCTAGAGCTTGTACACAAATCATCTGGAGAGCCACACAGAGTGAAAGTGGTGAGGACTACAGGGACACCTTACAGTCTCCACAGAGATATTTATACTTGGACAGTAGTTATGTTGTAACATATTTGCAGGATATACTCTAGTCTGCTTTTTTCTTCTAAAGCAGTTTTGCCATGACACAAATTAGAAACTGGCGGCATGTGGTAGATGTAATGGTTTTAATCATGGTTGCAAGATGGGCAATTCCTTGCTTTTGTCCAAACCAGCACATACTGACTCATTTTTTCTTACAACTGGACAGTCAAGCAGCTTCATTAAATTTTATTAGTCATAAACCAGGCGTTTCCTTGATGCTTCTAGGACCTCTCTTAGCAGTCCAAACTCTACTGGCACATGGCTTAGCTACAATCCCAAGCTCTGGGAAACTCAGCTCTGTCAGCCAGCTGAGACTTGTCTTTGACTGAGGATGAAGTTGGCCCTGCATGAGCTTATGGCCTTGGAGTGCAGAGCACTACATGCAAGGACTGCTCTTGAACCTTGCCTCTAGAAATACAAATCGCTCCCTCTGAGCTAAAAGCAGATGAGAAGACACAGAGGCCACTCCAGTGTCCAAAAATACAACCAACCAAGGGAAACAGGTTGCAGTAGTGCAAGGATAATAGTCTGCACATTCATCGCTGCATGCTGGGGAGGAACTTAATTTCCTGAGTCACAGTTTCTCTCATCCTTCCAACAGATTCAGTCCTCCCCTGGGAACCTCAGCCCTACATCATCCCTCAACTAAACCAGTGGCTAAAAACAGAGGGAGGACAAGAAGGCTCAAAACTCAGTCCAACTTTGGCAGAGGGTAGTGTGATGCGTGAGCCGTGTGGTGGATCAGCACAAATGCCCAGTGCAATAACCCAGCTGGTTGTGATTTGGCTGACGCAAGTGCGGTTAAAGGATGGCTCTTTTATCTCTCCTCCAGTTGCTGCACGCATCTGCTCTTTGTCCATGTCACCGTGTGTGGATCCTGGCCCAGCAGCTTTTATGCCACCGGCATTGTGACTTTCTTCTTCACTGATGAGAAACAGAGTGGTTGGCAGATTCCTATGGAGGGGCTGGTAAATAGAATAATCACTCTCTGTAACTGTTTGGTCTCTTGGAAATTGTTTCATTAGTTCATAGGAAAGTCACGGTTGATTTGCTTTAGTCCATGCCACAGATCATTATCTCTTCAAAACATAAAAGTGGTTTATTTTCTGTGGGTCAGAAACTGACTCCAGATATACAGCCAGCAACAGCTGATCACAGCACTGAACCCGAGGTACATACGGGAAACAGAAGAGCTTCCTAAATGCATGGTGGTCCTAGATTTTAGGGAGGGTGGTGTTGCATGTTTGGGTTGGCTTGTCCAAAAGAATGCATGATCTTCCAGCATAGCAAAGATTCATCACCCTGATTAGGCAAGATTTCTTATTACCATCTCCACAGACTCTTCATTCCTACTAATCAAGCATCTGGAATGCAGGCTGCCCAATAAATGCTGAACTATCAGATTCCAAAACAGATTTTAGGAGACTTATCTACTGCCTTAAACAGATCTTCTGATAAAGCTCCCTCTCCACATCATCAGGTTTGTCATAAATTTCTGCAGAGGCTCCTTTTGCAATAGAGGAACATTCTTTTATTAAAATCAAATTACCATTGAACACTTTACAAACTTGAATTAAATTACTAAGCATGCCTGCACTAAAGATAAACTTTATTACTCCTTCACTCCTCATTTTACAGTGAAGAAACTAAAGCACAGACCAGTTAAGTGGTTTGCTAAAGTTACAAACAGAAGACATTAAATAAGGATGATGATAGCTTATCCTAGGGCTGCTAGAGTGGGGTTTTTTTGGTGGATTTTGTTTTGTTTAGTCTTGGGGCTGGGAGTTTTTTCGGTTGAAGTGCAGTTTTACCCAGCAAGAAGTTACACAGCTCTAGTTCTGCTGGTCGCTGCTATGGCTGCCCAAGAGCAGGCAGAACAAGACAGCATCTGCTACAAAAACACTTCCTACCTTCAGGGAGCAAGACATCTTTGCTTCTGAGACCTTCATAATGTCAGGGCCAACTTTTCTTGTCGTCTAAATAGAGATGGAAGCTTGTTTTGCCTTTCAGAGTCAAGAGAACAGTGACTCTTCAGCTTTTTCCCCTGAAAAGGTTTTTTCTTACTCAACCATGCCATCCCTAAAAACCTGCCCATTTTGTAATTCTTTGGTCTCTGAGGAACTGTTTCACTAGCTCATAGAAAAGTCATGGCTGATTTGCTTTAGTCTATCCCACAGACTATTACTTCTCCAAAATATAAATATGCATATTTTTGTACATACGGGGAGGCAGAAACAAGGACTAGCAGAAAGTCTGCCACAAACAAGAGGTGCTATTTTTAGTTTCTTCGCCTTACATTCTGCAACCAGTTTGCCTACAACCATGAACAGGGTCTGCAGAAGTGCTCATCAAGCTGAGCTTGCTTCCTTCCTTTGTGGAAGTGATGAACAGGGACAGTCGATAGAGCATCTTGATCCAACTTACTTCTTGCAGAAATCCATGTGAAGCAGAAAGCAATACTCTGTTAAATGTGATTATAAACATATTCTTTTCAGAATTCCCCTTGGAAAATCTTCTGGACAAAGTGGTTAGGAACAGATCCTTACCAACTGCCAACTCAACAACAGTGAATCTAGAAACCAGCTCTAATTTTATAAGAAAGGTGGTAACACAGAGAAGTCAAACGCAGCATACTCTTCCCAGTTCCTCCAGCCATGCCTAACACATTTTTAACCAACTGTAGTTTAAAATATATTTTAAGCAGATAAAGTATTACAGTATTCAACCATATTAATTTAAACTCTTTATGGATGGGTATTTTCAAGATTGAAGTTACCTAACTCTGTGATACCATCTGGTATCCTTTACTTTCAGGTCTGTCTTCCTTTCTTCTCTGCCCCACCATCTTTTTTCACCAGCAAAATGAAAGACAGCCCCATCAGCCAGTGTGGCAGGCTATGCTGAAACCAATATGCATTGAGACAGGAAATGCAGGTGCAGGTTTTTTCTAACTGCTGTCTACAAAGGAAGTTTAGACTCAGCATCCTCAAGAAACTTTTCACCTAGAACTGATTACCAGCAATACAATTTTCTAGATAACTTGCTAAATTCTTCAGCTGTGGAAGAATAAGAAGTGTCATGGCATATTGTTCACTAACCAAATAATCTTGAATGCTACTATAATGACATTCATAGTACATATATTTCATTACTGTATGGAAAATGAACTGTGTAGTCCTATACTGATATTAAAAAAAAGGCTTACTGAATTGCACATACAAATAATTTACCAGAACTGCAGTATAAAACATAGAACACTTACAGCTTTTCTGAATGCAGGTCTAAATTATATCATAACTATTTATCAGGAGCGACTTTACCACTTAATGCTTGGTCTTTCACTGATAAAATGTTATTCCAGAAAATTACGAAAACACGTCTTCATTTCTGAGAATGCTTGAGCGACCTTATGTAATTCAATCTCATCCTTGAAGAGAAGCATCAAACATCACTGGCTACTCTACCATTTCTTATCCACGCAGCAAACTCTCAACTTCAGCTCCTCCATCACTTTCCCTCTTCACTGCAGCTGATCTTCACCTCAGGCACTGCTGCCAGAAGGCCCCAACCAGCAACAAAAACAAAGGGTTTGAAGGCCTTTGAAGTTTCCAGCAGACTAAGGAATTGTGGACTAGAGTGATATTTCAGCTCATACCCACAAGTGCAATTGTAATTCATACACATCATCACCAAGATGTGGAGAACAAGTAGAAAAAAGGGCAAGACATGCATAGGCAACTTAAATACACTGCCTTCTTTATATGAAAGTAACCCTACTAGTTGGTTTGCTTTTTTTTATGGATAGCTTTCTGTAGGTAACATTTTCCCACTGCATCTTTCCCCCTTTTATGCTGTTCCAACATAGATCAAGAGTTCCAGCTTTGCACAACCACTCCATGGTAGATTATAACCTGTTACACTACCACAGTCTTCCTTCTTGTGCAGTACACACAGTCACAGATGATAAATCATTTCCTTTGGGGACCAAGAGAATTTTTGTTCAGCTGTTTCTATAAACGGGTGCAACTCCTAAATCAGAATTCATTTGGCTAGAAATTTTAAATTATATTAATTACCGTGCCTTTGAAAGGACAGCATCAGAACACTGATGTGACATATTACTTAAGTCATGAGGAGAGTGTAACAAAGGCTGGGCTCCTCTCTTGAGCAAAACACATCCAACACTCCTATCCCCAGGGCAAGGTTCACACAGAAATGCAGTGGACTCTTTCAGGAAGATTCTCTCACTGGGCACTTCTTCATCCTCTCCAGGGCTACAGCAGCTCCTACTGTGCTGTGCTGCTCGCTGGCCTATGGCACTGCCACGACAGGCTGAGGTGCCACCTTCCTGAAGTGGGAACAGCTGGAATGAAGCAAGACAAGCCAGAGGGATGAGGACAGGTACACTGTGTACAGGTGATACTCGGTTCAGAGGAGGCCCAAGGAGGCTACTGCAGCAACCTCAGTTTTAAGAGAAGCCATGAGACATCCTAAATTACACTTTCAAAACCTGCTGTCCCCAACAGCTTTTGGAGGATTATGGGAGCACAGCATTGGCTTAAGCTCATGTTTGTGATCTCTCATCTCATTTAGTTCCTACAGCCAAATCAAATGAGTATCCAGGTCAAAAGGTTTTAAATTAATCCCTCCAAATAAAAAAAAAAATCCACTAGATCCACTAAAACATTTTATCTGGGCCTCTAAGACAATACAAGGTGGTACCACGTACCAGAAGGTGCTCTGGAGCTCTTCTGGTAACAGAGTAAAATATTTTATTAGTCTATCTGCCACATCAACATATCAAATAAGCTTTTATGAGGTTACTATCAACACCAATGCTTATTTCTCATGCTTTCAGCTAAGTAATTTAGCAAGTGTCATACATCTTTTTTAGAAGACTGCAGTGTATTTTGTCCACAGTAATACTTGTTAGAAACTTAGGGAGAAAATGCGTAAAGCATTTTGTACTTTACTAGATAAAAATTCCAAAATTGAATAAAATGGCAAATTACTTCCTACAGCTATTAAGGAACTATTTAAGAACAGAAATATGAGACAAGGATTAAGAAAAGGGACACATCTGTTCTGCAAAATAAAGTCTTTGAGAAGAACTACCAGAAGTAAGAGAAACTGAAAAAAAAGCCAGTGAACTTGTACAGAAAAACAGCAGAAGGCATATTGCCAACAGATGGTGAAGAAGTCATAGACCAAAAAGGAAAACAAACTTGAAAGCATACTCAATTTTGAGGACTTGAGAAAAAAAAACAAAACCAAAGCTAACTCCTTCCCAGTCACAGATTCCCTGGTTAAAAATGGAGCTGCATGTTCTTAACACTTAGAAAAGCAGTTGTAATTTCTGGGTTCTAAAATGGAGGCATTCAAAATTAACATCTGTCTATGAAAATGTTGGTCCACTCTTGAAATCACTTCCTTCCTCCCTGCCATGAAAACACACTCTTTTTTGGGTGTGTTTTCATTATTTCTCATGTTAGTGGTTGAGCCCAATGCACTGGGAAATATCTGATGCTTTAATGGGCCACTTTCTCATTAATTCAGATACCTGTTTAAAAAGATGCTTCCTCTCTGAGCCTTTCTGCAGCAGCTGAATCAGGTACTGCCACAGGAACCAAGAGACAGGTATTTGCAGAGCCTCTCAATGGAAGTTATTCCCCATTATTCTATGTGTCCATATTTTTCAATCCAATTCTCAACCTCACTTTTGGAAGCAGGAATTTCACACAGCCAGTTTAATAGCACTCACTGACCAAAGGAATTTGACATGCTATACTGCAATTTTTACTGGGGGTACATTTTGCAGTTGGAAATCTATAGGTAAATAAAAGTTATGTCATAACAAGAGACATGAATGCCTATGGCACAATGCTGTCAGAACACGAAAAGGTACTTTAAATGTCAAAATAATACAGAAGTCATCTTCTACAACTGTGTATCTTCCCCCAGCAAACCTCCTTTCCTTAGTTTGCATACCTTGCAAGAGCTATTCAGGAAGTTGACACATTTTTTGTTGCTGCAAACCCAAGAGCAAGAGACACATCAGATTTTACTCTCTTCTAAAATATGTCCACTTGCAGCTGAAATTTCAGCAGTTCGCTATAGAAATGTTCACCTTCCACTTTCTCGAGGCTAGCTGCCACAACTAAGTTTTCAAACTTGTTTTATCCCCTTCCGTGCTTTCTTTCCTAATGTCTACACATTATACACTTACTCTGGTTAAGACATATAAAGAAGTAATTACCAGGAACAAGGGCACAACTTTGCCATTTGTAACACTGACTCTGAGCTGCCACTTGAAAGTTAAAATGAGTGACTTATTTATAGCACAAAAGTAATACTGGAGCATCAGCGATTGTTCATACTTAGATACACAAAACTGTGTATCTTGTAAACATTAACCAATTTAAAATTATAAATCCCCTCAACCTCAAAGTGCACAAAATGCTGCATAATATTACAGCTAAGGCCTATTTTCTTTTTTTAAAAGTCACAAACCATTGTAGTTCAAAAATCTGTGGAAAGAGTAGCTTTGATTTTGACTATGAGACACTAAAGGCTACCCTAAGGTGAAGCTTTAGGAACTGCCAGGATCAGTGAAGGAGCTTTCAGGACAGGCAGTGATGTTCGACACAGCCAAGTGCCTGTGGGCAATCACCTGATGCTGCACAGCTCTCTTCAGCTGAGGGAAGGTTTGCTATGAATAAACTTACTCGATAATAGACACCTGTGGGTTCGTTTATTTGACTGTCTGTCGTGTTCTCAGTCAACCATCCGCACTTACAGACAAGTTCTTCATCCCGAAAAAATTTTTGAAACCCTCTGACAACAGAGGAAGAGTTGTTATCTAACCAACATCCACACTAGAAGGCCTGCATAATGCATATACCTGGTTGGTGACTCTTACAAGAGCTAACAGGTTGTTTTCAAAAGGAAGAACAAGGAAAAAAAAACCTCCACAAGTCTAGAATCACAGATATAAAAGCAATAAATCACATGAACAGTTCAAACTTTTTATGCTGATTTGACAAAAATACAACGCGCTTCTAAACCTCATGGACCATTCAGGCTTAATTTAGAACAACACAACCTTCAAAAAACTTGGTCTGCCACCAAGCACTTTCTATTTACTGGACATTAGCAGACATAGTTCAGAAATCAGAAAAAACAATTCCTCACATCACGGAATTTATTGTGACATTCAGCTTTCGCACCCAAACAAAACAATCAGGCACACACTGCCAAGAACCATCGGTGCAGCTTCAGGGCACCAGCAAGGGCTGCTACGTGTAAGGCTTCTCTTCAACACTTGCGGGGCTCCTACTAGGGTGGAATTCTTGAACTTGCTAAAGCATTTATAGATTACACGCCTGTCCGGTTAAATACTTCCTGCAATTTTGTTAATTACACATCAGGGTCTGCAATTAGGGAATGACTCCCATCCTAGAAAACATATAGCTCTCAAGTCACCCCCCCTAGAATGTGTGTCTCGACTGCCGCTTCTACAGATTCCTTTGGAATGTATGCTATTATCCCAGATAGGAAAATTCTTTCAAAACTTGAACAGAATGTGCAGTTCTACCGCTGGATGGTTTTCCTCTTCATTTTTCAGTGCTGTAGACCGCTTGTTTAGGTCAATACACCTTTCTCTAGGTGGGGGTGGAGAAATCCAGGAGCAGACAAGTGCAAGCCCACGTTCAGGGTCTCTTTCCGTGCCCATCCCTTCCAGAGGCGACCAAGCGCAGGCTTTCACACGAACGCCATCCCCCTCCACACCGGCCTCATCCTCCCCTGTCAGCAAAGCCATCAAAGCAAATACCCGGCCTTTTCCTTCTTTCCCCCTGATTCGTCACCAAGATGCAAATTAACAGATTCTCTCAGAGACAGCGAAAAGAGCCCACCGAACAATGGGAAACACTTCCCCGCTGGTGCCCCACAGGACGGAGGGAAACAGGATCCCCTGCGCTGGGGGAGTTACTTAGTGGGGATCAGATGCTACTAAAAATACGGGAGCGGTGCGAGCGGGCCCGGACAAAGCCCGGGCAGGGCCCGCGGTCCCCGTCCCGGAGCGTCCCCGCGCCAGACGGTGATGTCACCGCCGGCGGCAACAAAGGACGCGGCACCGGCCGGGCGGCCCCTGCCCTCCGCCCCCCACCCCGCCGGCGGCACCGCGCCTCCCGCCCGCCCGGAGCGCCGGCACCGGCCGAGACAAAGCGGCTTCCCCCGCGCTACGTGCGGGCGGAAAGGGAGAGGTTCGGGCCGCCCAGCGCCGGAGCGGCGGCGGAGAGGCGGCGGCCCCCGGGGCGGTGCGGGCCGGCCCCCGGGCGAGCGGCCCCGCGACCCCCGCCAGCCGCGGCGGGGCCGCACTGCCCCCAGCCCCGCTGCCGCCCCCTCCCCTACCTGATATGGCGGCGGCGGCTCCTGATCCGGCTCAGCTCCGTCTCCGTAGCTAGCTCTGTCCGACTGGGACTCGTGGAGCAGCGAGATGTCATCCGAGGTGGGGGACTTGAGGCAGTTCCCCATCTTCCCGGGGGGAGCGCGGCCCCCCCTCCGCCTCCTCCCGCTCCGGCGGCGGATCCGCGCCCTCAGCCTCCCCGCCGCAGCGCGCAGCCCGCAGCCGCCCCGCCGGGGAGGCTCATGCCAGCCCCGGCCCTAAGCGGCTTAGCAGCAGCAGCAGCAGCCTAGCCGCCTCCCGCTCCGCAGCCGCCCCGACCCCCGAGCCGGGGGGGGCGGCAGGACGGGCCTCCCACCCCCCGTGGGGCAGCGGGCTCCGGTGGGTCCGCCCGCCCCGCGGCTGCCCGGCGCGGTTCTGCTTCCCGGTCACCAGCTCCCTGCGCACTGGGCTTTGTCGCACGGGCCGCCCTGGCTCCTCCTCTCACCCCTCCCCGCCAGGCCCGGGGAGCAGCGGCGGGGCCCCACTGGGCTCCGCACCCCCCCGGCCCCGCCGCGGGGACAGCCCTGCCCGCCCCCGGCGGGACGAGGCGGGACGGGACGGGCTGGGGGACCCAGCTGCCTGCCGGGCTCCCCCGACCCCAAAATGGTGGGAGCCGCTTGGCTCCGCCCCTGAGCGCGGTGTTTGTTTGTGTTCCGGGCATGGCGGAGCCAGCGGCCGCTCGGGCCCGGCGGGACAGGACAGGACGGGACGGCAGCGGGGACTCCCGCACCAGCCGGCCCGCCCCGGCTGCGGGAGCCGGTGCGAGGCCCGGGGGCCTCCCCAAGGGTTCCCCCGCGGGCGCGTCCCCAGGCAGCAGAGGGGGTTCCCTGTGCTGCTCCCTGCAATGACCCGAGGGGCACGGTCAGTGTAGGCACAGGGCAGTGAACGCCAGAGTGGAGCAAAATCAGCAACAGCAACTTGGCTTTTGCGTTTCTAAAGGTTTTTTTATGCGATGAGCGGGTGCTCTTAGAAGCCATATATTTAGCTCCTTTTTTTTTCCTTCATAAACGTACATTCATACTTGGATATAAATATAGCTAAGTACTGACAAACGCAAATTTGAGGACAGTGAATGCCCGTGTGTCACTGTGTGCCAGCACTGACCCACACAGAGGGGAAGATGTGATGGTCCTATTGGTGTTCTTTAGCTCCTCAAAATGCACGCTTGGCCTTCAGATTCACACCATGGAAAACACTTTAAAATCCAATTTTTAAAGTGAAGGGTTTTTTACAGTGAAGCAACTGTGGTGCAGATGAGGGCAGCTGCAAAGTCCAGTCTGTAAAGCAGTACAGCGTGGCTGCTGCTTATCACCAAGTTCTCTGCTGATACAGCTTTGCAGCAGAGCTCCCATTTTGGGTCAGAGTATCTCCAGACGTGTTCACAGTGACATGTTTGGCTCCACAACCTTTGCTGGTGGACCTCAGTCTGGGATCAGACATTTTGCTGATTATCCTTATGAGTTCATTCTTGGAGATTTCATTTTATTACTGTTTAGGGTGGTTTGTTTTGCTGCTTATCAATGGGTGAGTTAAACAACCCTGGTGTAAAGCCTGGGATTGCTGCCATTTATGGTGTTCTAACACAGTTTCAGGCTTTTCAAGGAAACTGAAACTAAAAATGGGGCAGGATTGTGAGTGTTGCTCAAGACAGAGAGGCTTTGCAATGGCACATTGTAAATAATGACTGCTGTACATGGCTTGCTCATTTGGTTTATCCTATGAGTCTGTTGCCTAGGTTTAATAGAATTAGGCAAGCAATTGTTGGAGGGTATCCAGTGAGCCACTGCCTCACCCAGTCATGATTTCAAGGTTAAGGCAATGTCAGAGCTGTCTGCTGTGAGAACCTGGTGATGAAACTCCAGCCTTGTCACTGGTGTTTTCAGTTGTGCAGTGGCATTATTGGGAATGAGATTAAGGGCAACTAGAAAGACTTATTTATTCAGCTGGGAGCTCATGTTTTGTTTTCTCTGTGAGGTTCGGGCCTGTGTCGTTGATGTAGTTCAGTGAAAACCACGGGTCCCACTGTGCCTTGGTGTGAGGCTGTGATCACACTTGTGATCCTCTGCAGTGACGAGGTCCTATGGAAACCTGTGGTGCCTCCCTGGTGGCTGACATGCCAAATTAGCCTTTCTTTGGAAACTAGAGTGCAAACTGGTCTCATCCTGATATGCATTCAGGTCACAGGTGAGATTTCCTGTGCATCTCATGGTATCAATGTTACATTTATTTACCTTGAGGCAGATATCCAGAAGCAATAGCTGCTAATCCCAGCTACAACTTTGCCCTTAGTAGGTACAGGACACTCCAAATCTGGGCTTGTTTTAAAAAATGCAGACTTGTCAAGTGCCAGAAGAGATCTGCTTTTCATGGTGCACTCAGAGACCAAAGAGGAAGCAGAGGTTCATGTCTGGCCTTGCAACAAGACAGACTGCACCTGTGAGAGCTCTGAAGGGGGAAGAGCTACTGCCAGTCGTGCCTGGGTTCTTTGAAGTCGGGGTGGTTGAAGGAACTGCTTTTCATGGCCATTCACTCCTGTTATTTCAGATAGGTCATTAATAATGGCTTTGCACCACTGGCTCGAAAGTTGTACAAAGGTCCAGGACATGGAAAATGGAAATTTGTTATGTTCACAAATGTCTTTTAATATTCCTGTGTGTGCTGAGGTGTAGCTGTGAACCTACTCCTTTTGCTACCACACTTTTTGCAGGCTGGGGACAAAGAAGCAGAGGGATGGGTCATCAGAGGATGTGATTTATGAATGTGGTTGCTTTAGATTTATGGTATGTTTTAGCAGAACCATAGGGCAGTTTAACTGATTACTTCAGTTCTCTCTGGCTTTTACTTCCTCTACTTAGTTTGGGGAACAAGTATTAGTCAGAAGGATTTTCTAGAGCCTTAAAAGACTCCTATAGAGGAAGAAAGATTCATGTAGTGGTTTAGAGCTGCACAGATACTACAGATGGAAAAGATAATGCAAATACAAAAATTAGTGTCAGACTAATGTCAATACAGAACTGGCAACGTAAGTCAATGACACTTTTTCTCACTCGTAGGCATTTAAATAGTTGGCTGTAATCTGTTGTCAGAATGGAAATGGGGATGTTCTGGAGTTTGCCAGTGTACAGAATTCATGTTCTGGTGCACCTCGATACAACAATGTCATACATGGATCTGTTCTCACCAGCTTCTGGCAGCTAGCATCTTCTGAGTGAAATCAATCTTTCAAAACAGAATGGAAATCCAAGAAAAAGAGTGTTAAACTATACAGACAAAGTTTATGTCTTCTTTTGTAGGCTTTTGATGCGAGGGGAGGCAAGTGACATATTGATGTATTCTTAAGGCTCATACGAGGTAGCCAGACATGATTTTTTTACTGAAAAAACGTTTCCTTTTGAGTTAAAAATCTAAAATCCACTGAGGACATGAAAAGTCCTTCTTGTTAAGAGTTCCTCTGCAAAACTGATGTCATAAATTGCCTAATTTTTGGAGGAAAGACCCTTTGATAACACCATTTTACGTGATCAATGCTCATGTTATTGTTGGACAACATTTTGGATATGTTTAATATGTCATGCTTAACAAAAGTTTTTGAAAGACCTTTTCTTCTCCTCAGCATGGAAAAGTTTTTTCACTTCCTTTTCTTCCATCAGGCTTATTTTCCCAGCACTTATCATCTCTCATTATGTCTTATCTTTCTTCTGGATAAGGTTGTTTTCCCAATTCCTGCACAGGAGCCCAATTGACTTCTGGGTGCAATCTTTCCATGCCATGGTACCCAGAGGTTCAGAGATAACTCTGTTTGCTCGGGTAATGTTGGTGAATAGAACACAATGCAATTTTAAAACCTTTTTCTGGAAGAAAAAAAAAAAAAAGACTTTGTATACCTCTGGAGAATGGAAGTAAATTACATTCTTCTATTATGTATGTGAATCTGATTACAGGAATGGTGGAATTAATTTATCTGGTTATAAAAGGCATGACATCTTCTAAAATGCACATGATTATTTTTAGTTTTGTTGATTTTAGCTGAACCATAGACGTTTCTCAGTGTATATTACAACTGCATATTGCTTTTGAGACAGAGTGAATGCAGCACTAGAAAGCAATTATGGAACTAATATATTTCCCTGAAATGTACTTTGTGATGCAGGATTTTACTCATGTTTCTAAAAATTACTTAAACTTCTGCCTAAATAATCCCGGTATCACAAATAGGCCACTTATATCAATTTATCCCAAAGATACCATCTTGGTAAGGAGAAGTATTCCATTACTGGCAAGAATAACTTGCCTTCCATAATATCAGTTTTCCCCAGGTCCAAAATATTTTTTTCAGCAAGGAGTGTAATGCCTGCCTATTCTGTGCACTGGGACACCTGCACTGTGAGCCACAAAGAACAGAAAGAACATGTATTTTGGCACTAAAACACTCAAGCAACAAAGCAGACAGTCATCATACAAAAGGAACCTCTTCAAACAAACCCTCTGTCACCCAGCTTCCTGGTGAATTTTGTGTAGGAATCAATTTTCCTTTTTCTCCTTGTACCACATGTTGCCACAGTCTCAACTTCAAGGGTGATCAGAGACCTATAAAATACGATCTAAGGGGAAAGATTGAAAGAATTGGGGTTGTTTAGTCTGAAGGAAAGGAAGATGTTGGGAAAAATGGTAATGATCTTTCAAAATGTAAAATATTTCTCAGAGAGAAGGAATAAGTTTTTCTTTGTGTTCAGTGGGTCTAGGGCAAGAAGTGATGGAGATTTAAAGTAGATATTAGAAAATTATTTCAAACTGCAGATGTAGTTTGGCACTAAAAATGATTATCTGGGAATCTCATTTGCTGAAGGCTTTGAAAAGCAGATTAAGTCACATGTCTCAGGAATTATTTTAGTTGCAGTAGATTATATGGAGATAACCCCAAAAGGTTTCTGTCTGGTTTTTGGTGTTTTGTTTCCTTCAGGTGATTTACAGCAGATGCTTTGCTGTTGTGTTATTTTGATTCTCACTCTTTCTTATATCCTCAGAAAATGCCAGAAAGAAAAGATGTCAGTAGGTAAAATAGTGGGTAAGTTAGAATGGGTGGGGATGTTCCCAATAGCAGAATACTAAGAAATCACAGTTCCTGCAGGAAAGCTGGTGTGTTTGAGCAGAGTGTGACATGCTGACATGTCCTCCTGACAGGCTTTGGGACACAGGTATTGGGCTGGCTTTCAACAAGTGGTGGTTAGTCAACACACAGAAATCTGTGGTTTAAATTTTAATTTTAAATTTTAATCGAAGCTTCACTTTTTGATGTTCAAGTATTTCCTGAATTTTCAAGGAGTGAACTCCATCCACAGTTCACCAGTAGCCAGTTTGTTAGACTTTTTGTTCCTCCAGTTCTCTGCAACAGTAAGGTAGTATCCAAAATGCTTGTAATTTTTTGAAACAGAGTTGAGGAATTGTTTGTTCCAG